TCCAGTTTACTTTTGAAATGCCTGAAATATCATTACAGACTTAGGTGACTCCTGTGAAAATCGACCCGTCAATGAGAACAGGTATGTTATTTATAGTCTGCTTCCTGCTGATTTTGATCTGATAATTGAAGACTATTGTGGCATCAGAGGAGGGCACTGAAGGCGAAAGAAAACGCAAGCTGGAATATAATGGAAATTGAAACGAAAAACTACTTTAAACACGCGATACATTTAAGACAGATATACGCTATGAGAGTTTATAGCACCCAGTAAATAGTTCTTCGCGTTCAACATAGATGCTATAGAAACTGTTGTTGCATTTAAAAGTATAGTTGAACAATAATGGCTCTAATTAAGAAATCTATCAGTAGTTTGGCGAATAAATGTAATTTGGTAATCGCGAAACGCAACCTGAGCTCAGCTGCGAGATATCATATAGTTAGACATGTTGAGGATAATAAGGAATAGTTATAAGATAAAATTAACCTCACGTAGGATAGGTGGTGTTATTGAAGTAACGGAGCAAAAAATGTGTCAACGAAAATTGTATGTAAATAATATAATAATATGAATAAATTAGTAGTATGAGTTAGCATCAGGGTCGAGTATCAAAACAGGGTAGAAAGCAACTCAAACGATTTTAGCTATGTAAACGAGTAGTTCTACGCGATATTTCTACAAAGTTTCGTAAAAAGTGTGTGTGTGTGTTTAAAGTGTGTAAAAACGCACTAGTTAGAAAAACCATAGTCAGATATGGAAGAATATTATCTGTGTTTTAGGTTCGTCATTTAAGCAGTGAGGCATTACTTCAGGCGGCTGGCTCCCAGCACCAAAACGAAATATGTTTGCGTTTAGGCCAACATGTGCCCTTAGATGAAGCAGATAACCATCGCGGGGACAAAAGACGGGCTGCGTAATTTAGGAGAGTAAATACATTTTACCAGTTATGATATTTTTGGAACAAGTGAAGAATATCAACAGCGATATTGAATAAGCATATTGAATAGGTGATATTGAATAGGTTTTAAATATTAAAAAGATTTTCCGAACGAGCTTAAAGGGACGTATGAGAGCCCAACTGCGAAGACTGATCAGCACATTTGGACTCACAATGCTTACGTCGAGATAGCAGTTAGAGCAGTGAAATGATAGGTGAGGCTTCAAACGTAGCACTTATGAAAGAAAGCGACAGAGTTCGTTCTTATCAGGCAGCGTTTCGTATTTAGCTGACCCCGTCTAAAAGAGGATATATAAAATACAACGGTTTGTTGATGTCTTCCGCGATTTTTATGGCCTGTAGTCGTGGAGACACCATCCAAAAACTTTTTTGCACAAATTTGTATGAAACGATTGCGATGCATACGGCGACATGTTCTTCGAGAAGGCACATACGAAAAAAAATATCAGGATAAAGCTGTTGCTATAACGTGACGAAAAAGCTCAACGCTATAATATAAACTCGATTGTTTCTTACGTTTCACTTTGACGAAGGCAAAAACAGTTGGCCCCTTCCGTGGACTTCTCTGCTGGATGTGCATAAGGGTAGAGCTAATTGCAGGACTGCATTTATTTCGCACGTTTCTGTGAATAGATGAATGCATTCTAAGGGGTCGAGGGTGCATTACAGCGTTCTTAAGAGGGCACAAGCTAGTGAAGACTTTCGATTTCCGGTGGAAGCGAACGAACAAAGATTTCCATTTCAACACAGCAGGAGCGATCGGCGAGTCTTTTCATAACATTTATTACTACATTCCCACTACTGAAGTTCAGTTAGTAAGTTAAGAATATGCTCATTATGTTCTATTTTGTTCAGCTAATAAGAATTATATCGAGCCACGGTCACCAAATGCATTTGAAATCGTTACTGCTGTTTGTTCAGTGACTCTGTATGCCGGGCACGGCAATATTTAATAGATTAATAGCTAACAAACAGTATTCAAGGTAAGAATTCATATTAAAAACAAACGAAAAGCCATTAGATTACCATAGAGCGGTGGCTACAAGCCTACAGAAGGTGCAAGTTACTAGAATCAACGCAACAATCGTTCTTTAACTCAGAAGGTTGATGTGACGCTCCCCACTGAATCGAGCAGCTATACTTACTGTTTTCTTCTGAAGTATCACTGTATTTCCTCGCAGGCTTCCGGTCTTCATCTTTGTTTTCTTGCGTCCATACTTCAAAAAATCGTTAGTCTGACTTGTTCTAGTCGAGCCATCTCCCAGTTGCCCTAGAAACGTCTTTTTCTGGTTTGAAGAAATAAATGCAGTGTCTGATTTCATCCCGCTATTGAATTTCATTATAGCAAATCTGTCTGATTTCGAACTTTATAGTGTATATTCCTACCATTTTATCCACTGTTTTCAAATACTTCAAAGCACTGAACCAGTTTTGGCCATCTGTATTAGAACTCGAAGACGGCACATTCATGATGGTTATGTGTATGATTTATATCTTAACGCGATTAGCCGCATCGTTTGCCCCGGCTGTCGCGTTAAATAACCCTTTAGATGTCGTACCGCAATATGTTCGCTACGAAATTGGCCGATGTAGTAACGGTCGTTCCAGAGTGTGGCGAAACGGGCGTGTTCAAAAGAATGTTGCTAACCTTGACGAAACGAGGAGCTTGCACTAAAAAAACAAAAGCGCATTTTCACTATGCTCGACAACGTTACCGTTCGTTTACGACTCGCCCTTAATAATGAACAAATGTTGGCCACGTATATGGAAATATGAGTGTTTCTATAGAAAATAAAAGTTGGCCGTCTCCGACTATATGGACTTTATAGAGGTCAACAAAATTGGCAACAACTTTATAGGACGTTAACGTTCCTAGCAGTGCACAGTTGACATGCATAATATTTTTATAATAGCAGCGATCCTCTATTCGAATCTTATGAGACTTTATGTGGATATCGCATTTGAAAAGCGCCAATTTCTAAATTGGCTTAGTTTCAAGGTCACTGCTTTCGACCGCTGGCAAAAGGTCATATTCGACGAAAAAAGGCCAAATTTGGAAAATATACATCTTTTGACATCTTATATTAGACCTGCATTGCTGAAATGACTACGTTGAACGCGAAGATGGTCCTTGACAGACAACCTTGTAACAAAGACGTCATGTGTATCCATGATTACCGCAGCCATTTTCTCGTTATTTGATGTTTTCATTTGAAAGTAACAGTTATGTAGAAGAAGAATTGTCGCAGGATCACACCAACAGAAATTAGGATACTGCGATGTTATTACAAATAATTCAAAATATTTAATATTGTAGACCGCTTTCATTGATTGGTGTATTGATTCAAAATACAAACACATTGTAATCAAGGACGTAAATTATATCCATAAAGAAGCGGGCATTGGCGATAAGGACAGCTATATATATATATATATATATATATATATATATATAGATATATAGATATTTTTTTTTTTTGCTGTTCAACTCTTAAGGAAGCAATAGTCATTTTGACTGATTGCTGTCGTGTGTTGATTTGTGAACTTTTATGTAATATTACAAACGTTATTTATTCAACGAAAAACTTAATTTTATTGAGTCGTTCTGCTTAAATTTCAGAATCCGAGTTCGGATATTCAAGACAAGTCTGTTGGATGAGAAAAGAAACGTGGTGACGCCTACTTCTTGCCGATGTCGAAAAATTACTAGGACAATCCAAATAATTTATTCTCCATATGAGGAGAACTCTTTAGCCGGGGGATACAGGCTCATCCGACAGCCGTTCTCTCGCTTTAAGCGTGGCTTAACTTTCGTTAGTTCAAAATTTTGAAACGCAGCGTGACCCTCTGGGTCGGAAGCGTCCTTTTTAAACTATACATGCTGTTTAAGAGAGAGATCCTAAGCGGTAGAATTCTCATTGTACACATGATGTCTAACTTGGCTTGTTTTGTAAGAGCAATTAAGAGAACTCATAGTACTGTTTTTATGCTTTGCTACATATTCGTCTTTAGAATGTCACATTAGGCCAAAGATTTGTGATAGAAAAAGCTATCACTGATGAACGCTAAGCTGTAGTTTAAAAAAAAGGGCAGTAGCATCTCTCATTTGTTCTAGAAAACATCAAAAAGCGTCAAGGTCAACAGAATTAAATAGAGAGCGAGGATTCAGCTGAGGAGATAGATATATCATAGATGGCAGCACCCTATCTAATCAAAATTTTGCGCCGACCACTTCGTCAGTCATTGAAATTACAATTTTTAAGACCTGAACGTGTCATGAGGTTTACTGGTGTTTCGCTATTTGACCGTTCTAGAGGATACACTTTCATCGAAAGCGTTGCTTTGTTCTGCTGCGCCTCGTCTTGTGTCTGTTCGCCAAACGCGTTGGAACTTTCTATGTGTAAAGCCTGTAGATCGCCAGTTACAATTCGTCAAAGCTAGGTGAGCTTAAGCCAAGTGATGATTTACAAAGGACGTTTCTGATTGTCGAACTTCCAATCGGCAACAGTGATCTTGTGTTTTAACTGACGATTCGCGATCACAGAATATGTTGGCTTGACCGCACACTCTAGAGGAATCCGACCGGACCCTGAACTGTTCCGAGAGCAGCTTACAGTTGCTATTAATCGCAGCAGTTCGACAAAAGATGCAAGGTCGGAGGCCTACTTATAGATGGGCTCGCGTAGCTAGCATTTGACGGTTAAATTGTATAACAACGAGCACCTATCTCCCAACTATATATACAAAATAGCGAAATGGCACACGCGCATAGGTCATATGAAATTATGGACTATACAAATAATGACGGATAATTGTGCTTATACGTAAAACTACAGTTCTGTCTTATCTCAATCGGATTAACAGTCTTTACAATACATGTCCTTGTTGAAAATACTCTATTCTGGTGCGGAATTTGGTGCTCCTTTCGACCAAGTGTGCCATAATCACTTTCACGACAACTAAGGAATAAACCTCTTTAAATACTATCGCATTAAACCTAAAACCGCTGCAACAAACAAAAAGTTGAAGCCACTAGACGTATGGAGAAATATCAAAGGAAAGTCTCGTGTAATACAATGAAAGCCTACTTTAGGTTGGTTGGTCCAGATAACTTATCTGTTCTATATATAGGTTCTACGAAGTTTTAACGTTTTTAAGATTACGCTAACACCTCGCTTTTCAAGGAAGAAGATTTGGATTCATCTTGCTCGGTAGTTAGCTCACTCGATTCTAAACCAAATAAGCTCTCACACCTATCTTTCAAACTGACGGTTGTTGAAACGGACGTGCACACATGCACAAGTACAAAAACTCCGATCGATATATCCAGCGCAAGAACAGCTGTGAGATTTTTTTTTAGGATAGCCATAAGAAGGACATACACTTTCGCTATTGGATGTGAATAGGACTACGTTTCTTTGAGGAGAAAATTATTGAGCTCCTCTAAATGATCCTTTAATTAAAGGATTGCCAGAATGGAGGGTTAGTAAAAATGCTATGTGCATGGGAATATATTTTATATATACGGGAGTATAAGTTACCAGTAAGTAGATCCATTATTATAGTGAAATGCTTGGAAGAAGGTACGCATCAGTGCAGGGGAACTGCTGTTACCAAATATGATAGCGGAAAGTTTTAGATTTGAATTTGGTCCCTTTAATGTTCTCTCTGCTACTGATTTATTGAGTGTCATGTTAGTAAATGTATAAATCCATGACTTGCACACGTTCGCTGTACAGTGTCCGTAAAACAGTGTCTGTCTGATCGGACATTGTTATTATGCGTCGGGAGGATAGAGATAGTCAAATCTATCAGAAAATTATCTACTATAACGAAACCTTGATGACATTTGAATGTAGAGGTTCTATTCGCATTGTTTTAGTTCATGCTAGCTAATAGTCGTGTGAAATCGAACGAGGTTACTTATTATGACGCCATTCCCGCGCTACATTATCTATCCCATGGTGTTAATGAAAAATCATAGTTTCACTGATATAATATGAAAAGAAAGCTTATCTAAGACCTTATTTGCGTTTACACATTACATCTAACAGGATATCAATAAACGTCACTCAAACGGCGAAAAAAAAATTTCAACTGACAACAAAGTAACAAAAGTACCTCTGTCCTATATTCGACAACATTTACGATGCAGTATAGATTTGTTGAACTCCACAATTTCGGATCTGTAACTATATATACATAGGGGTTATTCGGAAACGTTATTCAATTGCCATCTGTATATATATTATTTGGTGTAGTATAGAAAGCCATTCTTTCAAGCAGCATATGCCAGAGGAACTCATACGTTACATGATCGATCATGCGCTGACTTTCGTAGCAGCGTCAAAAAAGGTTACAAAGAGAATAAGTACTCCGAACCGAAGGTCCGTCAGCATCCACCAACTATGATTTTGAATGAGCGGCTAAGTTCCTTGCCTTCGGTTGGGATAAGCAATAATCACCTGAAAATTTTCTATAAGGTACAAATAATATAATCGCTTATATTATGTATATCGCTATATAAGATATCATATCGTACACAATCAAGTCAATTCGGCCTATCCCACGCGAATACTTGACTGCCGCCTTCATCAGGACGCAAGAACACATTTAAAGTTATACGTTTTTAATTTAAGGCCGCACATATGCTATCAACACTCGTGTATCTGCGGCAGCACAATTTTTACCATACCAAAGAACTCAGCAAAACACAGAGATAAAAAATAAAAACGTTTCAGAAAAGCCGATAGAAAGGGTAAAACTACACCACATCTGTGTGCTGATATGGCGTTCCTATGTGTTAGCAAGAGGTGAGTCGGGCTATTGTCGTTGAATCATAGAGGAGATCGCTCGCTAAACTCATATTGAAACACAGATTACGGTAGGGTGGAGCAGCGAGCCATAATTGTTCTCTGGCCATACATTCAAACTATACTAAGAAAGGGCAACGGGCTACGATAAACATCCTGTCCCCCCACTCTGCACGGAGGCGTAGTATCATTGTACCGTTGACTGTCAGCTAAGCACTCAGCTTTTACCGATGATTCGAACTTGTCGACTGGCAATGTACTTAAATATTAGTTAGTTGTCGTCGGACACAACTAATTAATTTGATTTTTGATCATAGAAAATTAGCTACGTCATATTTTCTATCTAAAATTTGTGGATCCCTTGCAGATACCGTTGTTTATCCGTGAACTAAGGCTGTTAATAGTAGATAGTGATTTTGGCTCGCGTTCAGTGCATACACAGGCCGGACAGTGATATAGGCAAACGATAAGGTAAACCAGGTTTCTATTGGCTAAATAGCGTGACTATGATAAATATTAGTGTAAAATTTGTCCGAGTAGTCTAAGCTGCAGTTATCTGTGCAGTTTTGAAATCCAGAGGAGCAACGAAGAGACATGAAGCAGCAGAGTCGTATGCTATGTAGACTACGTCATGAAACGATCAGTAATAGGTGTATAAGTTAGACTATTGTTAGTGGCCAATACAAATTGAAAACTTTAAAGCTTCTGGTGTTCTTCAGCTTAAGCTAGGCAGTTCTAAATAAATATCGGCAGTCGTGGTGATAGCGTCATGAGTAACAAGTTATGCGACGAGATGCCAAGTGGCCTAATTTCGAATTCAATTGTGGACAGACACTTCCTGTTGTGCCGAAAGTCAGCCATCTTATAGAATGCTGAACGACGGTACCGTATAGAAAATCTAAAACGTTGAAAGCGCCAGCAAGGCGTTGGTAGTAAAATAGGAAGTTACTTTTTAGCATCAATTAGGATCAAGAGCATTGTTCGGTTGAACATCTCATTGTCCTCAACCAAGAGCGTACACCTTGCAAATATACAAACCAGATTGTAAGAGATGTGCGAAGGAAGCGATTTGTACTTCATCACTTTTTGACTGATTTCTGTTTACGTTTTTCGCTAGTCTGTTTGTAAATAGAGTTTCCATCAGTGTAAAAAGGCGCTAAGTAACTATCAATAGCTGCACAATTTAGAAAACGATTTTAAAATAGTTTTAATTCATACGTAAGGTAGCGTACGAATTAACCTTTGTAATGGATACGCAAAGATTTAGACGCTAAATCTGTGGACGTTTCGAGTGGCCCTGCCGTTAAATATTGCTTGAGGCGGCTGGCTCCCAATAAAAGATGGTGTCTAACCAAGACTACTTAAACAGCCTAGAGCAGGCAAACACGTTACCATTATGGCCACGATATACCACCTATAGGGTAGAATTTGAATGTACTAGGTCGTTACTGTGGGGGCAGCACGTACAGCACTTTGTTACGTCTGTGGTCAAACCAAAATTGCCGTAGGACATTTATTCAACACTTGATTCTCAACATGTACCAAAGCAATGGTTTTATACATCCTTTCAGCAACATTTTTATACATCCTTACGTACGATATTCGACCATAATCTCTGCTTTCAACGACGACATCTGATTGCATTTCCCATCGCACGTTGCTACCGATACAATTCAAATGCTTGTTTTTTTTTAATCAGAAACATTGGCTTATCTCACAGCCCCATTATTAGTTTTGTTTATTTCGTAACAATTACAAAGTAATGCTACCAGGGGATGTCCGAATGAGGTGCTTACCGTTGGTGCATTTAAATTCTATACTTTATTGACGAAAATCCCGATGCTGCAGCTTACTCAAGGGCACTGACATTCTTATCAGAAAATCATTTGTTAGGTTTAAATAGCATTCGGTTACTGAGAGATGAGCAACGTGACCTTGGGATACTTTTGTCTTTAATGGTAGAAAGAACACTGATCTTAACTGGTGCTATATTCTGTATGGATGTTTAGGAAAAGTATAGTCAGGTACCTACGAGGATATTAACTTATGCCGTGTCACGCATACTCTTCTGAAGTTGCAATCATATAATTATTTTTGGATAAAGATATAAATCTATGGTTGAGGCCTGTTTAAAGCGGTTTCATATGTGCTATGTCCTGTGTACGAGGAATTAGGAAAATATGAAAGAGTGCATTTTCAGGTGACATGTACGGTAAAAAGTTAACAGATGGAAGAAGTCTAGATTCATTGGTGTTGTGCTACAAAGAACACGTTGCCCCAATGTAGAGCCCCTGTTTGACACAGTATCACTTTTGAAAACGCCCCTTCCGATGCCCGTTGTCCTTACAAGAAGCACATGCAAACAAAAGGTAACTCAAGCAATTTTGACAGTGCACAGTCATACAATTTATTAAAAAATAAGAAACCAATTGTCGTTGGCTTGCTCAATACGAAAGTAAGAGCGGGGCTTTCTAGTAAACTCGATTATCATGTAACTACGCGAGACGGACTTGCTACGGCCGAAAACGAAAGATGATATTGCCTTTGTCAACGATACGTGCTTACGGCTTTATTAGGTACTGACCTTGTAGCTGTTAAATGTCGTCAGGTATTTGAAGAACTTTAGCAATTTAAGCCAGAAACTATTAGTAAAATGGATACACCCACGAATATTTCTTGTTGTTGTTAGACCAACATGTCTGGGTTCCGATTAGCATTGAACTTGTCCATATGTATTGCGCAACAGTCAGTGACGGAACTCTAATAGAATTTTCTGTAGTTGCTTGTAGATTAACCTGAAAAGATTCCCAATTACCCAATAGCTAATTACTAATACACTTATTCTGAGCGACAAGCGCCCAAGTTTAACTGTCACATCGCAGAACACATATCGTGAACTGAAACACTTTGTATTTCAGACTGATCATGGTCCCCAAGCAAATTTCTCAACCACACAAACGTCCGACTCAAGTTCAATTAGAAATGACGATCTATCGCTTTTTTTTTATGTAACAAGTTTCTGGTTTCATGTCAGATCCTTCAGAGAACTGACTAAATCTTTTTCCACGCGCTCACAGGGTCGTAGTAACGGAGAACGTTTCCTGTAAGTTATCTTTCGATCACCCCCACAATATAACGCCATGGCAGCGACCCTTACTTTACAACGGGCCCTTTCCGCAAAGCATCATGGGGAATTCCACGACGCATTAAATAACGCATCTCATCGGACAACCAAGGAATGAGCGCTATTTCGCCTTTTGAATTATAGAAAGACAAATGATGAATGTCGAGAGCTCAGAGAGGTGACCTGCATTCACGTCCCGTCAGATGCAACCGGATAATCGGAGGAAACCACACCAGCGCATTTGTACCACTATGATCTCTTATCTGTGTTGTTGCTTGCGGAAGCCTGAACGGTTGAGTATACAGTGACAAAATAGACCTGCGGCAATTTTTCCGGCGTTTGCTTTTCACATCAAACTACAGCAAGCAGCGTTTAATGCGCATAATAACCAGAGGGTTCTTTGAAAGACCCTTAAAGCCTCCCTACTTTGCTATATATATAACAATACTGATAAGAATGTTTCTTGTTGTTTTGCGTTAAATAATCGACGATTAATTGTCTGTTGCTCTTCTCTAAAGTTTCATTATATATACATATGTATGCCTTTGCAGACGATCTAAGGAGAAAGGACAAAATCTTAAGGAGACGATTCCTCCAGCTCGCCTTCCAAGCGGAGTCAGTGAATGGCCTGAACGTGCACGCTCTGAATTTCCAACAGAAATACAAATGAGTCAACACAATAATGTCTCATCAATTACGATTGATGAAGACCGTACGATCACTATTAAAGCAGACACGGTACAGTATATGCATCTTTCTTTTTACCTTTATATGACAAAATTATTATTATTATATTATATTAGTTTTCTACAAATATGTGCGATGCTAAATGTGCGCGAAATTAACACATTCTCTTCTATGTAACATGTTAATATTGTTTTATAATATTCAGTAAATGGCCACTCAGTTTCGCTTCAGACCCTCTTCATTCTCCAATGTGGCATCACCAATTTAATGTTAATTAGGTTAATGAAGAGTGGCCGATCGAAGTGAGGTGCATGTCACAAGTCCAGAAATCAACCTTGACCTTATAAAGCCATCTAGAACAATCCTATTTGTTAAAGAACCCTCGCTATGTACGGCACTCTTGCTTTATCAGCTTGTTAGCAGACTGGGTAGCACGTGTTTCGGGTACTGTAACTTACTTACAGTTAATGAAATTACAGTTTCTGTAACACGTTCCGAAGAATCCCAGTGCCGTATGCTACACCATGCCATGTCAGTACCACCCGTTGGGAATGATGCGTTAACACGTGCTATACAACATTTATTTATATTATATATATATAACAAAGAAATGCCTTTAGTTAGAGAATTGGTGTTTTTGTTGCTGGTAGTACTTCCAGCTTCATATGTGCTAACAGTGTGTCGAGTATTTATTCGGAATCGATTAGTTTCCTTTCAAGGTACGAACGAATGCCGCCATCAGAGAAATTTATGATCGCCAGATGAGACTATTGATGTTTATCATACGAGAGAACTCGAAGTCTGCCTACACTGGAAACACAGAATACAGCGTCAAATCTGGGGTGGTAAATGTGGGGCGTTGGGGCCAAACGGCGCGGTGAGAACAGAGAGGATAAACATTGAATTTTTACAATCACTCGAACGTAACTAATCATTTTTAGCAGTTGAAGACTAGTTCGTCGGTTCTGACTGACGGGCTCATAGGTGGACTATAAAAGGCTACATAGGTGAAGCTTCTTAATTTTAGAAAATGCGATGGATTTTGTATATTTCCATACTTAAACACCGGAATAAATACCGGAGTTTTACAGTTACTCATTGGTTTTCGGCTTGCATTCGGCAAGTTTCGGCCTAAAAAGGTCTCTTGCACTTAAAGAGCTGCTTGAGGTGTTTCCCCAGTTGGATTCAGGAATATTATATACAATTAAAATGTTGTTTAGCATATTAGTATATTACATAATTATTTCCTAATTATAAAAGCACATTCATAGAATTTGGCAATGAGGCCGTGCGTGTTTAGTTTGCGAAATGCACATAATGATGGTTTAACATTTCCGATATAACACTGGAGCTTTACTAAGCTAATGCAAAAAAGATATGACAATGCTTCGAAGTACGACAAACTTGCTTTGATAGCTGGTTAACCTTTTTTTTCTAAGGTTATGGTAACGTTTTGAATATTTTCGGCACTGTATGCATAAGGGCCGACGTATAGAACTGCTTCTGACGTCGTGTCTGCATCTCCTTCAGTCGTTTTGTTCTCTCGCTTCCTTTCGCAAAAATGAACAGTGTTTGAGTGTTATTCTCAGAGTCCTTGTAAACGCCATCTAGGCCCTTATATGTTGCTAAACTCAAGTACCTTATTTTAAGTTCATCATCCACCTGTCGGGTTTTTGTGAAGTGGTTTCCCATAGCAGTGAGTCATCCGAGAGATTAACGAGAGCACCAATACCCGAAACCGAGTCAAGTCTCGAATGTCTTCTTGTAGACAGGATTTTATTCGAAGTTCGTATGAACTTTGAGAGGATTGTACGGCTTTGAGAAATTTTCAAAGCTTTTTCAAGAAGTTTGGGTTTAAAGTTAAAATGAATTACTCTTGCCAATTTTGAATTGCGTCAAAGGATTTTTCTTTGATTGCCGATCATTGGTGATGCGCGTTGAGGTTTTCTTGTGTTAAAACAGTAAAGCTATTAAAGAGCAAAGTAATGTACGTACATGAAAATAACTCTATTCGTTTAAAAACGAATTAGTGCTCAGTTACACTAAATACATAAAGTGGTGATTTTCCCCACATCTCTGTAGGGAGACGATGCTGTATAATAACGGAGAGCTAGTATAAAAACGGTAGGGCGTTGTATTAGTCATTAGATCAGGTCTAACTTAATTGTTTAGATTACAGTAACAAATTGCTTGATGCATCAGAGCCTACAGCTGAAGGGAGAGTTCTTGTCTTTGCGAACATCCAGCTGTCGAAATCTTGCAGGTTTATCCGAGATATGGGTCCCGTTAGTTCGCTTTCAACTGGGACAATTTGGATTTATCCCACTTTTAGCTCTAGCTGTGGGATCTTACTTGGGCTTTCCTGTGTTAGCCCAGGCAATGTTCGACTTGTCAACGCATTCAAAACCCTATACTTTTTCGCTATCTGGGAGTCTACAAGGACGATGTTACCTACATATAGTCAGGTCAAATGCGTAGAAAAAAGGAAATTAGTATCCAAATTTTTCGGTTATCGGCTTCATTGAAGTCGTGCCACAGCTTAAAAATAACATGTGAAGAATTTGTTCACCTCGTTGCTCCGATAATCAGCGTTCGGAAAATGTAGATTGCGCTGTGACATCCGCCAACGATTTTATCTATGAAACTGTTTAGTACATCCACTTAGAGACGCTAAGTGATTCCGAGCGAAAACGCTTTGAAGCAGGATTTTTTCTCACCAGCTTTGCAAAGTTCAGGTGTATTTAGAACCTTTATTATCATGAACAAAACCAATATAAACTCGTGCCTCAATACATTGGTCGCAACTAATATCGCATTCGGATGGTGTCGTAGACCAGACATTGTGCTTTGTTTTTCTACATTTAAGACGTTTTGTAGCATAGGATGATTCCATATACAGGTTATATTTTTGACTTCCCCTTGCTATCTTTGCAAACATCAAAAGAAGCTGTACTTATACAATGTGTTGTTCTCAGTTCTTAAATACGTCCAGCTTAGGAACCCTAATTTATTGGAGCCAGATCAGCCAGGCAACATCGATAGGTTTACGAGTACAAGATTTAGTTAGGATATCGGTAAGCTTCAGTAAATTAATTAATAACCATAGAAAATATCTAGCAGTGTTAAATGTCTTCCTGGAATGAGTTCAAATGGTCACAACGGCCTTGCAATTTGACGCTCGAAAACCCTTTCTGTATTTTCTCCGGCAACGTACCTAAGGACCTCGTGTTTGACCCGACGTTGGAATCGAGCTACACCATTGTCGAGATCTATATGATTTTGTAAAGGCGTGTTCGTTCCACGTCTAACATAATAAAACTGCCTAATGAATTTGACCTGGTGTAGTGTTAGCATGGTTATATGACAAACAATGAATGTTAAACACGTAAAACATCATTTGTTCGTTCTCAGGAAACTCTGGCGATCCTTCTAGCGTCAAGCACAGTTGCGCCGTTGCTAGCGTCTCCTGGGTCCTGGACTACCACAGCCAGCCTTGGTTCGGGGCTGCGTTCTACCAAACTGCCGTTTAGCAGATCGTCAATAATGTACAGTCAGCATAGAGATATTGGCCTAAGTAAGTCACAGTTGTCACAGCGAGAAAAGTCGTACTGTAACCTCTGTCTTGGATTGATATTTTTTCCCGTTTTGTTTGTCTCTGTTTTCATATAAAGTTAATCAAGCTAAACAAAGTCGTGTTTTAGTAAACACAAAAGGCAACGAAAGTGTTCGGGGAGGGGGGGGGGTCAACTTTTTATACACTCTTTACTCCCAGAATTGTGGTGTATGTATTAAAAAAGCTTTTTTTTTGTCAATAGAAGCTTTTCGATGTTGCTTGCTCTTTTCAAAGAGTCTCATAAACTTTATTATAACTTTTATCAAAAAAAGTCCTCGCCTAATTTAAAAATCCGTCGCATAGAAAATATCGGACATTGCTCTTTTCATAACACCTCTTTCAAATTGAAAAGTAGGTTATTTTTTGCATTATTTGTGAGACAGAGTCGAACCTCTATTTGGAATACTCAGTCATTAAAAGCTGTTATTTTACGCGGCCAGAACCTGCATCCCCCCACCCTTCGACCAGACAGAAAGTCAGTTGTCAAAGTTACAGGCCGTAAGTTTCTCCGGACCTCTGGAATATTATTTCAAATATTAAACGCATCTTATTGATTAAATTAAATTAGAAAAAGGCTATTATTGTTTTGTGATTTACTCAGCGAGGGTCGCCTTTCGACTATCGAGTCCGCTTAAGTTAAACGACAGTTCCTGCCAGCACGAAGACCTCCCGCGAATTAGTTATTTGGTATCTTCGAGACACTTTAGGGCTAGAACATGTTAGGCGTACCGAAGGATCATGCTGTTAAAATGTTGGACTAAGTCCAAAACATCGTTTTACTGTACAAACTGAGGCTCCAAGGTGAACGATTGACTCTGTCACCGTCATTATGTGATGTATGAGGCTATGCACGTTATCTTTGCTAGGTCCTCATACCTTCACAGCTTTCGTAACCGTGTGCTTTAGGCTCCGCATAGCCTAATCCATTGGAGTCCCTGAATACCTGGCACTGTAAGCAATCTTTAATTATTCGCTTTGAACCTTAATTACTGTGCCTGGAGATTTTTTCCTGCTTATCAGAGGTACTGCCTCAGATCTTGCCGGCGGTAATCTCAAGCTACAATAACTCATTTCAGGTCGTTATTTCAGCCAGTGTCTAGTTTATGCAGTCTTCTAATTTTTCACTGTATCAACAGGTCAACCCCATTAAAAGGTTCGGTAGCCCCAGGACTACGTCTCATTCCAAAGCAAGGGTCCTAGGATAGACACCTACGAGAAATCGGCAGTTGTGGCAGATCGAGTGCGCCAATTCGCCACGGTCCGACTGCTTAGGTAGTTCCACGCGTACGGGAAAGATTTTGTCTCTGCAAACATCATAGAATTGTCCTTTTTCAACGCGTTCTTAACATCCAGAAGAACTGCCAACTTACTTGGAATAGGATTCGTAAAAATAATTTTAATAACAATCATTAGAGCTCCGTTTTGATCTGATACTTTTCCTCACTTTGTGTTTCGTGCTTAATCATAACCCCTATAGTGATTGGCGGATATGTTCATCTTCCATTTGTTTCTCAGATTTATTCGGGTGTTACAAGCGACCGCGGTGGACTCTGAAATAGAATAACTTGTGAAATACGTGTCGTTAGTTTTGTTAGAAATCTGATCTCCAGTCTTCTAGAAATGTTTAAGTAAAAGCTGATCGAGCTTATTCCAGGAAAAATGGGTTGCGAAGGAAACCCACCTTTTACTCTCGGTAAATCAACGCTGAATTTTTCTTCAAGGTTTTTCTGCTCGAAAGCCACAGCGTTACGTGCATTCGAAGATTGGTGAAGGCACCAGCCGAGCAGGCCTTGCTTGAAGTTCTGGGTCTCAGGGTTTTGATGGCCTGACATTTCGCATATACATGCTGTAGAATTATAACTCAAGTGTAAAAAATGTGAGAACTGGATGAAAGGTGGATTCTGTAAAATGACTCCAGCCTAGTTAGAAATGCATGTCATGTATTCCACGTGCAATTTGCAAAACTTTGACTCATAAAAAAAACCCACCTAGAGCACACGGTAACTTTAAGTTAGCCGTAGTCTAATTTTCATCGCGAGCCGGAGATGGACCAGGCCTTGTTGGCGCTGAGCTGCAAAGAAATCAAAGGCTGACGGCAGTGTTGAGTAGGTTTGACATAGGGTGATGGTAGTACTTGCAATGGACACCAAATCTGTTACTATGAAGTGCTCGGCTGTGATGAAACAATGAATGCAGCCTGCAATCCCTAGTTTCGCAAAAGCTTTTATTATTATTATTTATTATTATTATTACTGGAATTCAAAGGGACGCAGTCTGGTTATTTTATGCCAGATCTATTCGCCATCCATCACTTCCTTGCCGGATTAAGCGAAAAAATATCCAACGTTGGCCTCAACCCGATTTCCCAATCTAAATCCGTGAGACTACGGGCTCTGGTCGGCAAACATACGTACCATTTAGATTTTCTCCTAATTTTGTTGCAGTTTGGTTTCTTCGGGTCAAGTCTTAGTTATCTCCGCTGGGGAAATGTAGGGCCCTTAAGCGGAGTAACCGTAATAAGTGAGTTGTACCAGAACGGCGGGAAGCTAAGGTTACTATTATCATTATTCTTTCGTTCTGATATTGACATTATTCTGTGTTTTCTTACCTGTAGCTTCAAAAAATAAATCGTCATCCTTCCCTTGACCACCAAAAAAAGTGGCAACTTTACATTTTGCCCTGTTTTTTGACAGTCTCTGGAGCGCCCGTAAGTTGCCGTCTTGTTTCACCTCCTGCTCCCGGCCCGCCTGTTTAGAAAGAGGCTTTGTTCTTGCGTACCTCTTCATGAATACGGTCCCGATGTTTGGGACAATCTGTTAAGTTGGCGGTATGACTCGTCCTGTCACAATTGTAATAAGATTTGTCGGCGTCGCGTTCCTTACCGTAACCTTCTTTCTTTGAACAAGCTATTTGTACAATCCGACATTTTTATCCTATTAAAGAGGTCCACCATATAGGTAGGCTGCGCATAGCTCATATCCGTTCATGGATTTTGAGACAATTAGCTATCACCCGGTAGCCCCCCGTGACAGAGGGCTCAGCTTGTACGACGCGCGCGGTCTATGTACTTTGTGCAGTTAGATACCTTTTTTTCAGTCGTCTCATCAATTAGGTTTACTGTGGAGAGCTTCTCGTGGGAGTATATGTCCATTTGGACCTAGGTCCTCTGAGCCGCCAGTACCAGAAAAAGCTTCCGAAGCACCTTGTTGACGATCGTTTAATATGTTGAGGAGAGACACGTTCTGATTATCATGGTTGACTGAACGCTGTTATTGCGACGCTCCATCTAAAAAGTTTGCGTGTAGGTTTGAGGAACTGGTGGGCCGATTTGTTTGGTTAATTCCGATAGCAAATGGGTTTGTAGCTTATTGAATAGTACACGGAATCTTATATTCCGTGACGATCCTTAATAGGATCAAGTGTGTTTAACACTGAAACAGAACAATAACAGGTGTATGATACCTTCAGATGTTCGGGGCCACACGCGCGCTACATCGAGAGATACAATGAACTTTGAAAATCTTCGAATATTTTTGTTAATGGGATTTTGCAAATTAAGGTGGCCAGCATGTCGGTGAAACTGCAGTTTTCAATGGTTTGACGCAGGCCGGTGACCTTGCTGATAGTATTTGCGTCGTCAATTGTGGTCTGCATAGCAGGCTCGGTCATTTCCTTGATCTCCAAGGCCGCTAGCCTTCATACCGCAGTGCAGCGTGGCTTACAAAATTCCTCCGTAATATCTGTTAATGCAGCCTTCGCTGGTTGCTAGCACTTCCTAACCAGGCAGGTGGCTTATCGTCTCATAGGCGATCTTATGAATATATTTGCCCGTCGCCTTGTCTTCCCACTATTATAGGTGGTCAGCTGTTTCGCCAGATCTGCCAGCTACCTCAGAGCTGTTATTAAGCGATAATCGTACCGATAGCACTAGTGTCCGTAAAGTATCCATTGAGTTCGTGCTTTTCATTTAGACAGGGGACAGACACGGCGCTTAGCCCGCAAGTTGCAAGTAATTACTAAATTCGTTTACTCTGCCTCGTTCGATTGTAATATGCTACATAAGGTTCGATTCAAAATATTAAGAAACGGTATCTCACGAAAACCCGGCCGAATGTGTAACATTCTTTTCGGACATGGTATGGGCGCTGCGCAGTTATTCTATCCAACAGCCGACGATACTTGCGCAAGTTTTTCATTTATAGGTATCGAATTAAAATTCTGAAAAGTTTTCCTCTGACAGTCAGCTACATGGCAGGGTAAAGCTGTCCTCTGCGCGGATCTAGCGGGGTTGAGCAAATGTGAGCAATGATCCGACATAGCTGGCATATGCTAAATCAGCGGAATGCTCATGAATCTAACTCTAACATTTAACTCTCACTTTTTTCTAACAAGGAGCGATTTCGACACGAATCGATGTAATAATACATGTTCCAAGTGAGCAGCGGTTATGCTTTGTAATAATATCGAATAGCTATTTGTAAAACGTCTGAATGCTGAATGGCGTCTTTATAGCACAAAGCAATGAAATGAAATTTTAAGCTACATTATCGGAAATACTTAAAGAAATAAGGTATGTATTTGAACTTGTTTTTGTTTTAACAACTAATTATGGAACGTTTGAGAAAGATGTTTACACAATAATGGTACTCGAGCATATGAGTCAGAGGAATGGCAGCGCAGCGAGGTTCTGTTCTCGTAAATGCCGATCACAATACCTACGTCAGTGGACCAACAGAAACGACGGCAGACGTCTACTTTGCCCTCTCGGAGCTCATTCGGGCAAGCGCTCAGCTTCGACCTCCATGACCCAGTGTTTGGTTCAGTTTGCGTTCAGTTGATCTTTGTAAAAGTTAAAACATTTTCGAGGTAAACACCTATCTGGAAAGATAAGATTTTAGCAAGTATCATAACAGCTGTGCGATGTGTGCGAAACGATGTACGCCTATATATGCCAGATGACGTTTTCCGGCGCTATCACTATCAAATGTTCATTGCGCAGTAACGATTGTACACTTCACCTTTGCACGCACGCCACGTGTGCTTGCAGTAAATATAGGCGTGCACGTTTCAAATAGTCTAACGTCTTAACTGTGACTGATCAGCGAGCACGTGTAGCGTGAAGAGGTTGTTAGGAGATATCGCGGATGTCTTCCAGACAACGCCGAATAGTTTCGAACTGTGTAGAAAGTATTTGCCGCTTCGAATCCGCTGCGGCTATACGTGGTAGACTGTAGACAAAATTAAAGGTCGAAGCTTCAATTTTTCTTCTGTGTTTTGAAAAAATGTATTGAAGGTCTTCATTCATTATAGTTATGGTGCTTTCTACTGTTGATTCAACTCACGCCGGTAGGTACTGAATCACGATAGCGCTATTCCGACTGATGACAAGTTGCTTTTATTAGAAAAACAAGATTTTGCCAAACCGGATGATATAACAAGCAGGCAAATTAAACGGACACGTTTGTGTTTGGTGAACGCGCTACAGTGCCGTATTATGACGCCATACTCAATGTCAGTAGTCACTCAACATGTGAAGGCGTGTCAGAATTATGATTAAGGGAGTAACTTTCAGAGCATATGAATAGGAGATATCAATGACGCATCAGCTTCACTTTATAGGTCATATAATTAACTTTGATAGGGGGCGTCAACGCTGAGAGAGGTTGACATTAAATGTGGTCCACCCCTCTATTAGTCACAATGTGATTGAGTTTGGCATCGCTGGATTTCTAATATCTGCTCCAGAATCAATGTGAATTTTTGTGGGTCTAAGACCTCAAAGGCAATCGAAGTATTAGCCGTATTGTTAACTTCGTTCCTTTGAAGGTAAATAAATGTCTTGTTTTCATTTGTTGAAATGGTTTCAATTCTTTGACGTCTAGAACAGTGCGTCCCACTGAATAGCACGTCCATTGGTTGGTTTTTAAAAGCTTTGGTGAAAACATTTTGAGAATAAGACAGATCTTAGAAGCTAGTCTAAAAAGCTATCGGTGGATTAATAAGCACTTACTAAACAAACTATCAAATTGCCCTTATGCTGTTGAAGTGTATTGAGATGGTGAACTGTTTGCTATCATAAACGATCTATATTCTAGTCTGATGAGAAAATTCCGCCTGATACTTTACCTGATTAAAGTTACTTACAATTTATCCGTATTCATTTCGTAGGAAGAACTGGCCACGGCGTAGAAAACCTTGTAGCTGATGTAATTTTATATATGACAAAACTCGATGCATAGACACGTGTAGCCCTTTAACAAGCGGCGCTTATTCTATTTCAGGCATTCATAAAGACGACAGCAAGCGTCGTCCACGGAAAAAGGGACAGACGTCAAAGCAGTCCCATCCTGATACGAGTTTAAACGAGAGCAACTATTTGGAACGCCTTGGCCTATTTGATAGTCCACTTTGGCCTACATTAAATGAATTCGAATGCCCATTGTGCCTTGAAGTTGTCGGACGCTTGCAAGGCATCCTCATAAAGGCTTGCATGATTCATAAATTTTGTCGGTAAGGTTTTTTTAGTGACCTTGTTGTATTTTCTAAGTACCAAAACCGAAATTCGTGCAACATTTTCTGCGTGTATGTAGATATGTGTGGCACTCGTACTTCATACTTACGGTGGCTGGTAGTTCATTTGCCGAATGTAGCCGTTATCAGTTCTTGGCAGACCACACACAGAACTACAACGAGATAAATACGATCTTTAGACCTTTATGCCGTCGAAAAGTGCAGACTTATTAAATAAGTCCTTGAAATTCATGGACCCGTTTGTTTTTGCTTAGTGCTAACTGCAGTAGATCTGAACTTCAGGTTAAACAATCTGACATGTAGAAATAAGTGCGCGAAGTTTTTGACACCATACACGTTTCATGCGTTCTGTAGAAACTGCCTGCAACAAGCAGCTATAAATTCACAGTGGCTCGAGGTGGACTGCCCATTAGCCAAAGAATGCCATTCTACGATCAGCGATGCTGAACTTAAGGAGCTTCTGTCCTACCAGCCTGAACTATATCAACTCTACCTAGCTAAAAAAACGCGTCATCATGTCGAAAACGGTTCGTATTAATTGATTATTTTTACACAGTTGAAACAAACCCTACGCAATAGGCACATGACAAAATCGCCATTTCTTAGTTAAATAGATATATAGTTATATTGACTTGTCTACCTTATAACCCTTGGCTATATTGCCTACGTACGTTGACTTGATTAATAGCGATATATTCTATAGCGTAAAAACAAGTAAATTACGGAAGGAAGCACGTTTCACCGGAACATGTTTAGCACTGTTTAATATGACACGTCGGAAGGAAGGGCGGCTACTAGCCGGACTAATGGTGGCGCGCTGCTTGTTGGAACCTTGAGTTTTTTTTGTGCTTGTTGGGTACCTACACGTTTCAGATTTAACACAACTACAGCCATACGTGTACGACTGGAAAATCATTACCAATGTTGTCGAGTTCGTCTGCCCAGTTTGTATGGAGACGATACCACCTTTAGAGGGCGTCTGCGCAAAGACCTGCAGGGTACATTATTTTTGCGTGTACGTATTTCGTTACATTACTCGCAAGTGAGACTGATGTCCAAGTGGAATTCATCGTTTACATTTTGACAACAATTAAAAAATAGCTACATGTTTATATATATATATATATATACGATGCCGGCCTTTACTTGTTAGATATTTATTGTTCTTATTTGTTTTTACCCTTATTCGCGTTTATAACAGAGAATGCATGCGAGGCGCAATTCGAAGTTCTGATGAGCCTCGCCTTCGCTGTCCTGCCGTCAAATGTGAATCTTACCTTCTCGATATTGAAGTTGAGCACCTTGCACCTGAAGAGCACGCTCGCCTTATGGTAAATAGACACGACAAAAATCTATAGGACCTGTTGAGAACATAAGGGCAAACTGACTTATTCGATTATGGGAATCATACATGTTTTACTCTATTAGAAAATGAAAAACGAAATCTAACTCGCTTTCGAAGTGTGGACGGTTAAAGCACGTTTGCTTTACGAACGAAAATATAAACTAACACTGTTTTCGCAGGCTCTGGGCGTAGAACAAGCCATAGCGGCGGCTGGTGCGGACGCTTGTCACTGTAGAGTACCCGATTGCCAGGGTGTGTGGTTCGTAGAAGGAGAAGGCGAAGGCCGTTTTGAATGTCCGGTTTGCAAGAAAATAAACTGCCTCACATGCGACACCGTCCACGTCAACTGGCAGTCGTGCGAAGACTATCGGCAACAGCTTGAAAACGAAAAGACGCGTGAACAGAACGCACGAGACGAGGTCCAGACGAAAGACTACATTGAGAAAATGATACGGGAAGGCAAAGGCATGGTGTGCCCCCGCTGTCACGCACTTGTCGATAAAATGTCGGGATGTGACGCTCTTCAGTGTTTGAAGTGCCGCACAGACCTGTGTTGGGCCACTAAAGGGCTTCGATGGGGCCCCAAAGGCCGAGGGGACAATTCAGGCGGCTGTCGCTGCAGATACAACGGTGGCAACTTATGCCACCCGCAGTGTCAAAACTGCCACTGATTGTAGGCAAATATCAAGCTGGGCGATAATATATTTCGCTTTTTATCCCTCTCCAATGTACGAATGGCATTCCAAGTAAGAAAACCTTTGTAATGTAATTTCGTAAAAGAGAAAAAATTTGTCAATGCTGTGCTATTTCAACAGAATGCAACGCGTGTGCAAATAAGGCGATGCCCATGCGGAGCGTTAACAATGTTGATAGAAATCTATCTTAAGCCGATCCTTGCCGCTGGTTTCATTGACTATGTAACTAGACGGTGTCTCGACGAGCCCCAAGTTTGAGTTTCAACTAGCTTCGTCATATTCTTTTGTCATTTCAGAGAAACAATGTTCTGATAGTCTATTCTGGTGAGAACAGTAGATATGTTTTGAGTAAGTGATTCATCAGCTAAAGAACACGTTAGCCTTCTGCTAAGACTTTTCACATTATTAAATTTGACTGCAATTAATACGAATCCGCCAGACAGACTTAGATATTTTATGGTTTAGCTGTTCTGTTTACTGACGGAAAAACTGCTGTATACGATTGCAAAAAAACGTTCTCCTGTAGTATCCAATAATATAACGAATTTTAGGCTGTTCTGATTGCTTGAGCAGTTATTTATCAAGAAGCAGTAGGGAATATAGAAGGTACATAAAAATGAAGTAATGATGACACAAGAGTAATTACTCGTCAAGTATTATTTCATAGGTTGGTGATAAGAGGAACTCGAAGAAAGATGTTAAGTTTCCCAAAGATGCCATTATACTAAAGATTTAGACCTACTACTAAAGATATCATTATGCGAATAACAAGGTCGGTATGTTCTAAGGATCTAAATCCTTCTTCTAATTGTAGCATAAAGGAACGTAATCCTTAAGCCTAGCTTTAAATTACGAAGCCCTATCTCACTTTCCTGCACAGTAGTTTGACGTCTGTCGTAGCAAATACCGATACCGGTTCATAGTTGCTCCTTTGTCACGCAGGATTAATAAAACGTTTTATGATGGATGCGAAAAGTTGATTACAAGTTAACAATAAAGGAACTATAATCTAAAAGGAAACAGGCAGTATTGTCATTGGAGGGGCTATTATAATAAATATAATCGCTATTAACGTTCTATTTTGCATACTACTATGAGTTTTCATGTCAATAGGTACTGTATGGATCTGAATGGCATTTATATAATAGGCAAAGTTGGGAGAAGTTTCTTCAAATTTGGAAACGGATTGCACTGTGAACTATGGATGTCATCATACGGATCTTTACTTGCTAAAGGTTTCAAACACTTGATCTTTTAATTGTGAATTTTATGATCACTAGCTAACCCGACGGCCCTAGAACGGGCACAAGGTGATCCGGCATCCGTCAGAATCGAGCTCCTCGGCAGCAAGGAAATTTTCGACAAGGTGCTCTTACCTTAGGTAGCCTATCGAGCACAAACAGAATAATCTGAAAAAGCTGCAAAGTGAGCAATATAAAAGTAAGGAGAACAAAAATTGTTAGGAACGAATGAAAGAAAGGCGAAAATGACGATGCGGAAGTAATAGTTAAGGTCGAAGTCAGTTCTAAATATTTAAAAGTCGCTAACTGTAGGTTAAAGGAACGCGATATTAACGCCATCAACGGATATAGTGGGAACCTGTCAAACTGACAGAGTTTGGAGTGGGTTGTAAGTCACATAGTGTCCAAAGCAAAGACCTTTGTTTTCGTACGCAAACGGTCAGCAGAGATATCTTTATCTTCCTGGAACGTTCAAGTTTGGAAAAAAGCAGAAAGAAACACTTGTAGGTTTTATGAATGCTAACCTTTCTTTATGGCCCGTAGTTGGTAGCATTTATTTCGAGTGAAAAGCATATGGCGTCCTTACGGCGGTTGCTCAGTTGTTGTGTATAACCTAGCTTATTTATATACTGTAACTAGCGTACATTATCCGCTATCAGCAGATCTTCTTAGATCGGCCGTTGGGTTTTCGATATTCTGAATTACGTCGTATGCTTTAGATTTTGCGTACCGTACACATACGTGCCTGCCAGAAAATTATCTAAGATTTTTTTATTCAGCAACCGCATGATTTAACGTGTTCAAGTTTAGGCGATGCACAGTTTTTCCAGTTAGATAAGTACATCCTGCACGGAAGTTCCAGTTTGTCTCGTTGTGTTAGTCGTCCTGAAATAGTTCCTACATATTCCTTACGATTGTCAAGCGTGTAGTATCACGGTAGTAGAATATCTATATGGAAGTATATGTTGTGAAATTGATACAAAACGAGGCAGTGTTTTGCGATTGGTTGTTAAAAATAAGTGGCAGCAACAATGCTTTGTAGCCGCACGTGTTTAAGGCGTGACTAAGGAACATAGGACATTATAAACACATCTAGCACAAACGTAAGTTCATCGTTGTAGCCTGAACAGGTCGGCACCGCAGAATTATCGACGTGAATGTAATGCCACGGTTATATGCCCTGTCTGCCAGCAGTTGTGGCTGGATCACAATATCGTTGCAAACAGAGCTTTCACGCGACGTATCGAATCGCGTGGGTCGAAATCATTGGGTAGCTAAATACTGTAGTTAGAAAATCAAATACGAAGTAGAAATTAATAAAATTACAGCAAGAATGAAGCTATTGGTACTATTTAGAATAGTTAAAGAAATGAATAAAGGGAAGTCCTTCAGAAAGTTAGGCTAGTTGGTGTTAGCAGACGATAACTTGTAAACTTGATGCTCAGGTTTCAGCTATTTTGAATCAATAGTTATTGGAAAAAATCTTCAAGATACCGCCTGTCTGACATGGTAAATCACACAATTGATGATTCGTACAAATTTGCGTGATTAATACGTTAGGATAGTTCTGGTTTCCTGCGTACTAAAGATTGAGATGACCATGAAGCAAGCCAGGCACTGGTTGGAACACGATAATAAATCTTAATACGTTCATTGTACTTCGCTCAGTACTGACTTGAAGAACGATGTTTATGATAAGGTTTTCACTAAACTCACGTTAGAGCTCCCAGATGCTCTATGTGTATTTTTGCGGGAGTACCAGTGTATAAGTCATATTTTACCAAGACCTAATTAGAGGCGAGTTTCCGTTTTTATTTGTTTATGGTTAGATTCGCATGGCAAATGGCAGCAGGTTTGGTGGCTATGGAAAGCACCTGCGAGCCAGGGTTAATGGCAGTAATGAAAACAACTGTTTCCCATTAGTCCACTCTGCTTCTTTGTGCACATATATATAGTTTTGAACGCTGCATCGAGGAAGATACCCTTCTCATCGCTCCTAGCCTGCGGACGACTAAAGATGATACCAACAAAGCACGGTGCTATTTCAGAATCTCGTATTTCTCCTGTATATTGGCCAAACGATCAGGACTCGGATGCTAAAGTCCTACCGGCTGCGCAAACGGTCTGTCTAGTGTATCGTTTCATGCGTCAATTGTCCCTATATAGAGGCATGTGCCATAAATCAAACTGGTGGATATGTCTGCTGAGAAAACTAGAAATTACCCCTTAGATTGTAGCCTGCCAAGTGTCTCAATAATCTTACTAGGCGTCGGAGAACAACGTATCTTAGGAATTGTTTTGAACTGAAATTACAGGTAGACTCCTAGGACGTGAATTCGAATGGTTTTCTGTAGATAGCTGACATTCTCAATGTTAATTAACAGACAGTGATTTTTAGAGCTAAATTAACAGCAGAATTATTAAACTCTTCGACAATATTAAATAAAATTCTATTTTTCCATTGTTTAAGGATGAACGCCTTGAGAAGCAACTATCTGCGACACTAATCAAATGTCATGATTATGAATAAGGCAATAATCAGTAAAATCCATGTGTCTAGGTCTCCTGTACTAGGCTACCCATTGTTGCCACATAATCTTGTAGGTACTCTTCCACACATACAGCAGGTAGATCCTTTTGGTCGAACGCAATTTATGCCTAGTGAAACCAAAGCATTTATAAGAATAGGATTACTACTTGGACGAAACAGGGTTTGCCTCCCTCTAATTTTCTAGGTTTACCAATAATCTAGATCGCTACGTAAGGTTCAACCGATTTTAGAGGCCAGTTGGTACCGACGTCAGTTGGTTGACGACCAGCGCCGTCAATTTAACTTCGAAAACCTCTTCACATGAAGAAGTGAACATAACTCAATTAGGTAATAAGAAGGCCGAGTCATTTCGTCCTGAGTAATAGAAAGCAGTACCTCGCTGAGTTACTGGACGTAATATTATTTAGTCACTAACCAATTGATTGCTTTATATCATCGTCGTATCGAAGTGTAGTTCAATTGCAGACTGACGTTCACCCCGCAGGCCACTACAGAATCCATTATCAAGCGTTATAATAATAGAAGTGCATACTAGTGAGTAGGTATCTACTACGAGTTACCCTTAAACCATTTAAGCGATGCTATACGTCGTATGAGAGGACTGCTTCGAGTCAACCTTCGCCTAAATCGCCGAGAGTGAGATACAGATCAGAATTTTTATGTAACCAACATGCTGGTCGGTATGAAACCATGGACCGGACTGCATACCACTTTCAAAGATAACTATATTGAAATTTTTGCTCTACTAGGGCTTTAAGCACGACGGGCATGCATAGCAAAATTCGAGGCTTCTGGACTGATATTCAATAGTGCTCTGAACGAATGTAATGTTATCAGGTTCTGGGTAGGAAAGTGCCCTCGTGCATTTCGTCCGACGTCGGCAGCGGGGCATACGGCGCGATAACGGCAGTTTTCAAGCCAAATATCTTTCGTTGTATATGAGATCTATAACGGCAAACACATGTGTGACAAAAACCAGTTGATTATGAATCTAGCACTTTGTTGTCCTCGAGCTACCGACTCCGTTTCCAGGGGCTAATGACAGAGAAATTTCTTGCCTGATTTCGGCTCATCTATTGTAAATTATGGAACGGCTATGCGCAATCTAAAGCCTTTTCTAAGCAACGATTAAGACTAACATCGGCATCACAATAGGCCAACACGTTAGACGTGACTACAGGTTATATAGGACGATAATGGTGTCCCGCAAGATCACTGCGGCTCGATATACTCGTAAGGTATAACTAATTTAGTATTAGATAAATATTTTTAGATATGTGCGAAGTGACGCTGAGTTTGAGTGTGGTATTCTTTTGAAGATTCTGTACGTTCAATTCAATTCAGGTCAACCCTACGCGGAGGGCCTAAACGCATTACTGCTAGGGCAGCGTTATGATTTATTGTCATTCATCGACCAACACGAAGCCAACGAATCACCAAACGCTCTGTTTCCTGTACGGTTTCACTTCTATACGAACTGGTTACTTAGACCGACCATTCGACTCGTTATGCTGGATTGTGAGGAAGACTTGTTATCATTGTATTTGATCAGTATCGGTTGCTAGTATGATCCCTAGGACTATGTTAATTCCATTATAATGAACGATATTTGCCGAAGTCGCACACAAATGTTTTCAATAAAAAGAAAAAAAAAGATATACGGATGATCTTCGCCTCAGGATATCAGGAGATCTGTACACGTCTGTAGCCAGCGGATACACTACCATAGCGAAGTTCTTCGCGCCGAATTCACGTGTGTTGCAAATGTACATCTGAAGTCTTCGTCATGAATAGCAGCGTGTTCTTTATCCTTGTAATTTATGATGTGTTTTGCTGTGGTCACCTCATAGCGAAACATTCAGACGTTTTTTTTTGTCGGCTTAGACAAATGAAAGGGCCTTAACGAATTTAATAAGTGCATAATAGTTACAAGCACACATGGTGTGTGCAATAACACCAGCATGTGCGTATCACAACTCGGTACGATATTCGTCATATATATAACATATATTCAACATAGAAGGAATATAGAACGTTCGACTATTTAGATTGATATGAATGAATAACGCACTGAAAACGGTCTCCATTTGTATATTTTTCTAATTATTTGAGAGAACACTGGACGTATAGAGAACTGAAAATGAATTTCTTCGTTAACATTTCGTCTCATACGTCTTTGTTGATCTATTGGGTTTTTTTTTTTACAGCAATTAGATACGCCTCGTGGCCTATGGTTCGTCTGCTGCTCTCTAAACATATTGCTTTGTTCACAAATATACTGCACTTCACGCAATGCATTTGCCACTATAGGCTAAAGGACGATTTTCTTTAAGAACCGTATATAGAGTTTCGCCGTTCCACGATGGTTCGATTCGCTGTCAAATTGTGGCGCCGTCACGCGCATGCACAATCATTCCATTTCCTTCACAAGTTCTCTATTGATCCTTTTGGCGGCAAGCGCCGTCGTCTGCCTTTTTGCACAGTTTTAGCGCGTATTGACACGAATGTGTCCCTGCCTAATCATTGAAGTGGTGTCGGAGTGCGTCTTCGCCCTTTTCGTACACTAGTCTGTAGGCATCTTGCAAGAAGATTCAGAAACGAGTTGTTCGAGAGAGAACAAAGCTGACCAACGCTAGCGCGAAGCGGCTTGCAGAACGCCATCTGTTGTATGCTGGAGGAACCTTGCCGCAAATTCTAGCTGGGTGAGTATGCCATCAACGTCAGTAGATACGTTTGTCTGGTAGAAAACAACAACACATTTTGTGGCTATGATAAAGAAAAATAAAGCAGTAGATGACGTGGTTACGTGGGCAAGCTCAAACGAGAATCAAATTGAAATTTTGAATAGGTGCAGAGACCTTATTCAAGGGGCAGAACACGTCAAGTTCGGACGCGGGTTCGAACGGAAGATTGCCGGCATTAGACACCTTTTTCTTGAAGTTTCCTTACTCAAACATGAGCTAGCACCTGAAATATAAGGCAGGAGCATATTGGTTAGCTTTACAGAAACGATATCGTCGTTTCCAACACGGTATCGTACAAACTAACCCGAGTTTTTGTCGGTATCGTGTCGCTCGAGTCATTTGCAACTTCGAACGTATAGTTTTTCAATACGCAAGATATACCTGCGTCCATCTAGCCAGCTAGCAAGTAACCTGCGTTTGTCAAGGTTGATCGAGTATCGCCTGTACAGCTCATGAGTTTTACAGGCGATCCACGAATTTATAAATTTGTGGTCTAACCAGGCCCGCTTGTGTACAGGCCGAGAAGCCGCACTACCCACAAATGTTGATGACCACAGGGCAACATCCTTTTACAATTACAATTGAACCGCACCGCTACAGCGTAAATGATTCATGCGCCTAACATAACACGTACTTTAGCAGAGCTAACAGCAAACAGGTATAAACAGTTGTTTATCGGAGTATCGAACTGTTGAGGCAGGTACACAGAAAGCTAGTCTTTTGCGTATCACAATTAGAAGGCAATTAGCGCCGTCTATTTCGTAAAACACTACTGTTAATGTTTGTAGAACACGATTCTACCTCGGAGACTCGAATTCGGCATACAAAAATAAGTGAGTTAGCTACGACCGAGGGTAAGAGACACATGGGACGTTGAGTTTGTACGCCCATAATGAGGTAAAAACATTTTTCCAACGTAGAAGTTACGCTGCCAGAGCGTTGGCACGTTGTAAAGAGCGTGCGATCTTTCTCTAACTATTCAGACCTCCACTTTTACCGCTCTGCAGAAACTTGACGCGATTCGTATTCTAAGGCATCGGTTATTTTCATGGCATTTCTTTGTCCCGTCCGACCAACCGAATCCAGCTAAATGGTTTGCCTTATTAATCAGGTTACAGAAAGACGCCATACCTTTTTACTCTCATCTAGGATATCGAACCTAGATTCGCCTGACGTCTACCGACAACACCGAGTTGAGAGTTTCCAAGACTGGACCAGATCGAGTAAGTGACCGTAACGTACAATTTAACTGACGCAATCTTCCTGTTCATTCCTAAATCTAGATGGCGTCGCACGAAGACGCCTCTTGGCAAACTCGTCACCCATCATTAATAAGTACGGATGGCGAACCTCACAGATTTTTTCCGTATCAATGCAACATCTGCTGTCTCTTCCTGACGGCAGGTATCGAAGCGCTTGAAGAGCATGTTGCTGAACACCGAAGGTAACTAACCAGGTTTTCACATCAGACTTTTGAATTCTATGAGAATAGACAAATTAGAACGATATAGGAAATTACGTCCGCACTATAACGGTGCCCTGCTCTTCACTTTGATCTACAATAAGCCCGTACCCACTTTCCGTGAAATATATTTGCCGATTTTTATTTCGATCGAATATGTAATGAAACCGGTAGGGACGAGGAGTCGTCCGGGCACTACGAGATTTTTTTCAAAACAAAATCGTTTTGTATATAATAAAAAAAGAGTGACTTTGTACCTCATTAGTTTATATATCTCTACTTTTAGTGTAATCTATGAAGGTGATAAACATTTACATCGAAACGTTAAGCTTCCATATCCAGCTTACGGTGTACATGTTTTTGCTTTATAAGACAACACCGTTTCCGGTATACAGCCCTGCCTACCTTTGTCGCTTGTACATACATTTTTACGTGATACAAATATTAACAGCAAGCTACGAGCGCGCTTAGAGGCGTTACAACATGACGAAGGTGGTGACGCTGGCCATATGTGGGACTATCTTGGCGGACAACATGCCGCATCTGCCGTGCAGAGTCAGCAACCTCAGCAGCAGCAGCAACAGCAGCAATCTCAGCATCAACAAGAACAGTTTCAGGCAGCGTCGCAGCCGACTGTAGACAGCCAGACTCTCTGGTACGGCTCTAGCACGAGCAGGGCCGTTAATTGGACAACATCCCACGGTGGCACCGTGTCTGGCGCGACATCCCTGACGGCCTGTTCTCTTCAGTCGGGAACAGGTGCTAGCACACCTATGCAGGAGCAGCAGTTCGGATCGGCGCATATACCGCAAGACGGCTACGCTGCTTACACGTCACAGGCACTGTACTATGGCGGCGGCGGCAGCAGTGCAATTGGCAGAATGGTGTACACGGGCACCAGTGGTTCATCCGCGTACACGATCCCGTCGGACGGTTCGTTAAGCCACTCGAGTGGACTAGATGGCGAAACGGCGATCGTGACTAATGAACAACTGCAAGGTTCAACGTATCGAAGTACAGCCATTGCTTATGAGCCCAATATTACTGAGGTGCACGCCGACCATGTCTATCTGACAAATAGCGTACCCGATACAACAATTGGATCGCGGCACGCAATGTATTGTGGCGCACCGTACATAACTTCAATGGAAGTGCCGTGTACAGCACAGCGGACCTGCAGGCAACAGGCCCAGCTGCAGTCGGACTACACTGGAACCAATTACAAGCGACAACAGGAAACACCAGTGGTAAGTGGCGTGAAATGCCGGTTGCGTCCTAGGTAGTGGCTGCATAATTACAGACCTTAGTCAAATGACTATGTTTCATAACTGACGTAAAATACACTTAGTTAAGCAGACTACAGAAGGGAGTGCGCGAAGCAAAGTGATACATTTGACCTTTATTAAACAGACATTGCCCTGTTTAATCGCTAGGACTAGCAATGGCTTATTTTCTGTCCAACAGAAAAGTTAAACTGAGATTTGTTATGAAAGCTTCAAGGCCTATAGGCTCAAATTGAAGCTTTTCGAGAGCCGAACTTGACTTTAACTCAAACGGCAATGCTACGTTGTGCATATATCTGTATAGAGTAATTTGCATTCGGATTTTTCCAAACAAATCCATACTTCAATAGGGGTGGCTAGTGTCAATGTCTCTCTCCACAGGAGGCTGTTGCAAAGAAGCAGCGTCTTTTGGAGAACACGCCATCATCTACGACAACTACAACGGCCCCGGCAAGTTTCATTGATCCACCCCACTCCGAAGAGCAAATGGAACCTGTCGAATCAAACGGTACTTCGAATTCTCAGGCTTATCCACAGGATAGTAGCGCGCACAACTTTACGGAGTTTGGAGCAACGTCAACAACAACTACCACGGAAGCTACTACAATTCAACAGCTGCAAGAGAAACTCGGAAACCAATGGAGTCAAGGCGCGCAGCAAACGAATCTCTTCGCAAGTCGTGAAACAGGTATAATACAGTATAATAGGCGGTCGTGACGAACGATAATCGGGCGGTGTGTAATAGAGGTGAGCTCTCGTAACGTGTTATAGAATATGTTACTGCACATAGCCGTAAGCTAGTTATTTGAATGCATGTTGTCAGCTTTCAGTATGTTCATATATCTCGTACAGGTACGCGAGGGCTTTTGTTTATTATATTTGTGTGGCTTTGTTTGTAGTGGATGTGACGATTCTTGCCGATCCGTCAAGCGCGCCCGTTCATCGACCAATTGAGCAACATCCGACGGCCAAAGAAGATACTACGGAGATTTCAGCACAGCCTCGATCGGTCCCGGTTTCATGTCCGGTGGGAGTGGCGACGCTCAGTGGCGCCGATAATATTGAACAAGACGCTGCGCAGAACAATGACAGGTATCAGTCCAATTGGAAACATGTCAAAATTGAGAATCTCAAGTTCTTGCGAAGGTTCTGCCTATGGTCCTGTATTGATATTACAAAATCGACGTGTCTGGGCTAAACGCTCGAGTAGTAAACCTTTCCCACTTTCACAGACATTGTCTGAGTATTCATATCTGTTCCAAAGTTCGTTGGCCACTTTCAGAACGACAACTATAAGAAAACGTTTATTACCTCAATTTGAAAATAGTATTCAATTGTTCCTACACTGATACTAGGCTCATGTGGGTAATATGAAGTATGATTTCATTACACTCAATGTACCGTTGATTACTGGCTTCTTGCGTTCCTGTTGTAGTAAACTGCAATAGGAAAATCGATTGTGCTCTATGGGTAACACTTTGCATTACATCGTATCAATCGTAGCATTTAAGATACTAAAACGTCTTGCCGTACCCTAATCTAATTCTCTTCGCCCCAGCACATACTTCGAGCGACTAGCACGTTCCTTGCAAATAGCCAACGACTCGAACGAACAGGTCCACTCAACCCACGACGCTATTGGCATGGACCAGCAAGACACGCAGTCCTGGATTCATGCGCAATTTCTTGGTCAATGTGGAGAAATCGGCCCCAGCAAAGATCACGAACGGTATGCTACGCTCGAGTATCCTCCAAGTGAAGAAAAAGCTTCTTATGACCTTAAGATTTCCCAACCGACGAGGTAACTGCCGCTCCAACACAGTTGAAATAATAGGGAAACGTTTTCCAGGAACCGAATGGCCTCACATATAGACGATTTATATTATTCTGTGGCTTAGACTATTGGCACGCTTTCATGTCCCGACAGAGGAAGCATTAGGAGCAAACCTGTTATATTTATGCATTTATTTTCCACTTAGCTGTAAAGCACACAACCCACAACGTTACAGGTTGTATGGTACGGAAACTGCCAGCGAATGCGAAATACCAGGGTCTCCGGCTTTTGCACCCCTGGGGAATCGAAATGCTGCTATTGAAGAGCGTCAACAAGTTAAACGCGAGTCGGACTTTGGGGCCGCGGGCAAATTCAAGGTTCAAGGAGAAATAGAGCAGCCTGGTGAAGAATTTGAAGGTGACGAGGGCTCAAGCGCAGCCACAAAGACCCAAGCGGAAGAGATCATTGACGCGATCTTGAATATTGCCTGTTTACGGGAGGAACAACAGGACGCAAAAACTGCATTTAAGGGAGAAAAAATAGACGAGTCTTTATCCAGAAACAACAGTTTACCTGCAGAGTCAGAACAAGCGGCCGATTTCGGATTTCCGAAGATCGAAAACAGATCCCTTGAAGTTACGGAAAGCGATTCCACCGCTGTCAGTGCTGAGTGATTGCAGCAGCTTATCGCACGGGGGTCTGAGGTAGCATTCCGGGTAATGAATGCGTAGAAAAGGTCCAATGTAGTGCAGAAGGCAAAATAGACTCTTGTTGTTACACTGCTCGCATTAATATGTTAAAGTTACAGCCAAACACCGGGGTGCACATATTTATATAATTCAATTAATTATTCTGATAGTCGGCTACGTTATGCAACTTTCATTAATGAGACTAGCTGATCGTTATGAGGTGTCTGCCCCTTCCCCTCTGTATTGGATAAAGCTCTGAAGATGCACTTCGGTTGCTACGAAAAACACGTACAAGTTGAAGCACTGCATTTAAATTCTGGCTTCTGTATGTGTCGATGTACCGAATGCATATGTTAGCCCTTGTAGCGTAAACACGAATGCTATGCCTTCAGTCGAGTTTAGAAAGTTCTTAACGCCATAACTTCACGTATGCAAGGCCAAAATTGCTAAAGAATCAAATGCATTAACAGGAATGTATTAGGTGTTAGTTAGCACAGTTCGTCAGCATTACGTTTAAACTTTAGTAGTCCCATCGTTCATGTAATGCATGTACATATGGCATCATAGGAGTCGCAGTACTGAGCAGGTGGCCGGACTTCATTCAGGTTGAAGGGTAACTTTGCTAGGACGACTATATTATTTACTTTGGACAAAAGACTTGCCAAATTGAGCTGGCAGTTGTTCCATTGTTATGAATTCTGTATGTGTTTTGGCGTACTTGGGCATCAGGGGTCCTCAGGACAAATAGGCATCCCGTTTTTTTGCTTGAAGCAAGTCGTTTGGTCTGAGGCGGCACTCTGGGGGGCAAAAATAAGGGCAGCAAGAGATAAATTGCCTCATAATGTAAGTTCTATACTAATGAACAGTTGATAGTAAAATGAATCGCTTGACAAAAACTTCAGACTAAAATTTGCGTTGTGGAGTAGTTATCCGCTCACTTTCGTTTATTATGTAAAAATATTGGGTATATATATATATATATATATATAAAGATAAAGTAAACGGTGTATATGTGTGATCAACGCCTGAACGTTTGCGAAGAAGTTGTGTCCTAAGACAAACGCCTTAAAATGATGTATGATGGAGTGCTTTGACAATAAATACGTTGCCTTGGCTAATCTCGAGGTTATGCTACGACAAACTTTTTTAGATATTTCATGACAGAGTAAACCTAAAATGCTATGTAGTACTCTTAGTGTGAGCCAAAACAAACGCTGGGAGACATTCGCAATACAACTTGTGATTTCAATAACAAAATTCCACGTAGAAGCTAGGTTCCCACTCTAAAGAACGTGTTTCACATACGCTAACATTTTCAAAGCCTCTCGCAGGCATATGATTGAGGCTGGTTCGAATCGCTGGCCTGATGATTATTAAAATAACATACGTGGCTATATCCCCGCTCCGTTACAGCAGAAAGGGCGGTCGCATAGGGCGATCAAACATTTTCTTCAAGTCAGACTAACCTTCCATTGATAAATCTAACCTATTTTTTAATAATTTTGAATTTACTAGTTTACCCACTAAGTGCAACGTTACGTAATGTAGGTACATGGCATAAATGGCTACTAAAACTATCTCAGAATATTTCAAGAGCACGGAGAAGTTGGGTCCAAGTGACACAAAGTGGTTAGAACTCTATTGAATTTTTGTTAAAATTTTAAACTTGTGAGCGTTAAAAGAGCTATTTTTCATAACTGCTGCGACACGACTTTACATAATTGTTACAGTTAATACATAATAGTTTTTCCGTTATCATGGTCCATCTGTCACAAAATAAATATAAATTGTACACGTGAGATTGTTTCGAGTTTCGACATCGGGTACCTAAACCGCTAAGCCTAGTTTGAACGTGCACACGCTGGACATATCCTGCTGTTATAAGTGAGCACAGTAACTAGCGTGGTGGCCAAGAGTGGGAAGCAATTCAATACATCTTGTGTGCTGAAGAAACAAAAAGTGTCGACGGTATACGGCGACGGTATGTACAGAACGAATTTCAACAAAGAGCGCTGTCCATGATAGGGTGAGCGTCAACCACTAACAGTGTTTATGATACCCTAATAATGAAGTTAGTTCCTGATGCTAATCTGTTATGAGCTGCGCTTCTGTCACATCATTTTCTCTCTGCAGTCCTCTCAACGACAAAGAGAGCTTTCTAGCGAGCATACTTACAGATACACCGTTGATAATTTTCAACCGACTAACATGCTTAGCCATAAACTGCACAAGCGGAAAGGTGACGGACTTTGTGGAGAGGGACGCCCGGTACGCCCTGTTTTCACAGCGCTAGTTCTCACCAATCGCGGACGATTGTTGGCCAGATGGTGACAAATTCGACATGGACTAACAGGCTTTCTCTCTATATCAACAGTATCGATGTCCTGAGAGTAAAGGTCTGCCAAAATGATGTAACTGCCATAAGATCGACAACACAAGTGAGTTGAATTTTATATTCGAATACCCATACCTTATGTTAGCGCTAGAAGAGCAGGCTGGGGATTCACCGGTGTTTTATTAAACAGTACAGCAACTCGGAGCTGTTACAAGAGGGCCGAATGTGATTGTTTTTCGTGATCCAGTATTGGCCTTATAAGGATTTTACATAAGGCATACTAAGCAATGCTGTCCAAGAGGGCAATCTTTTTGGCTCGGGTAGGTGTGCGATACGCGTCTGTCTCGGAAATCAGTGTTAAAGATATTGTGGACAGGCGAATTGTTGGTATGGTACCTAAAAGGTTCAATTTCGCACGTGATGTCATCGATCACTGGGCAGAAAAGGAACAGAAAAACGAGCGGCCTAGCTCACATCCGGCGTTGAAAGTGATCGGTTTCAGTAGCAGAACTGAACGGAACATAAACTACACTGAACTGTCCCAGCTTTCCAAGGCATTGGCTGGCGGGTTCCTCTACGAACTGGGTCTTACTCGCGACGACCGCATCCTTTTGTGCCTTCCCCGTTGCGCCGATTTCTGGATCGTTACGATCGTTGCGCTTCGGACTGGCATTGAGTTTACATCTGTCACGCCCCAAGCGCTCAGTCGCGATCTGCGTTACCGCATTCAGCAGTTTCGACCAACGGTGATTATAACCGACAAGATCGAAGAGGTTACCGAGGCCGAATACCCTAACTGGCCGGTCAAACATAAAATCTGCGTGAATAAAAAAGCTGCCAATTGGAGACTTCTGGATACCCTTTATGGAAATAGTCTTTTCGAGGCAACGGACACCCAGGCTAGTGATCATGCACTTGTGTATTTCACATCAGGAACCACAGGCTTCCCGAAGATGGTTCAGCATAATCAGGCTTACACCTTAGGACATATGAGTGGGCTGACGAATTTGCTGCTAGACATGACAACAACCGATGATTTCCTCTGTACAGCTGATACAGGTTGGGCTAAAACGGCATTTGGAACTTATCCAATTTTCATAGCCGGTTCTTCGATTGTCATTGACTTGGTCAACCGTTTCGATGCTAATCGCTTGGTCAACCTTATTCAAAGTCATCGGATAACACACATTAGTTCAGCACCAACCGTGTACAGGATGATGTTGGCTTTGCGTAAAAGCTTTAGCTTTCCGTCGTTACGTGGTTCTTATAGCGGAGGCGAACCTCTGAGTGCCGAGACCTTTAATAAATGGAAAGCGAATACTGGAATTGAGATCCGTGAAGCGTTCGCCCAATCCGAGACGTTGATGGTTTGTACGAGCAACCCGAGCTTTCCGGCTAAGCCTGGCTCAATGGGAAAAGCAGTACCTGAGTTCGAAGTCGCGGTTATTGACGACAATCTTCAGCCTGTCAAAACGAATGAGGTCGGTCACATGGCTATCAAAATTAGGCCACACTATCCGCCTGGTCTTTTCGTTGGCTATAAGGATAATCCAAAAAAAACTATGGAGGTTTTCCAGGGAGACTATTATTTGACAGGTGACAAGGTACGCTGTGACGAAGATGGCTATTTCTGGTTTGAGACGCGGGCGGATGACGTAATTAATTCAGCTGGTTACCGAATTGGACCCGTAGAAATAGAATCGGTTCTGCACGAGCACAAAGATGTAGCCGAGTCGGCCATTGTAGGATCACCTGACCATGAACGTGTTCAGGTAAGCTTGACATACAGACGTAACATTCAGGAGAAACGAAGCTGGCGTTCATATATATATATATATATATATATATTTCCTGTCATATATATATATATATATATATATATATATATATATATATATATATATATATATATATGACAGGAAATCCATTAAATTATCGTTTTCCTACGCATTTTCTCATGTGATCCTTAAGGTGGTTAAAGCATACGTGGTGCTGAAGGACGAGAAGAAGGCAAGCGAGGCACTCAAGAAGGAACTTCAAGATTTCGTAAAAAAACGAACTGCCCCGTACAAGTATCCGAGGGAAATTGAATTTCGGAAGTCGCTGCCAAAGACCACCAGTGGCAAAGTGCAGCGCCATATTCTTAGAGAGGAGGCAAAAGCAGGAAAAAAAATTAATATTGGTACACCATTATTATAATTGGTGCTGTTTTTAAAATAAGATTAGATCAACAAAACATTTTATTACGTATGGAAGGTTTGAGAAAAAATGTAGGAGAACTTGAGACGCGAAATTGAAATATATTAACAAATAGAGAGTACAGATGCGATTCGAGATCTGGCGCTAAAACAGTTTTTTGTGTTCTGTATAAAACCATGTTGACTGCTTAATAAAAATCCTCCCGTATTACGGTTGTCAGCTTCATGTGTCTATTTGCAATGATTCGTTAACAAACATACATTTAATTTTTACACAACAAAGGGGTATGCTAGTAACGCATTGTGTATTTAGGAAGTTCGCTTGATAAGTATTTATTATTAGGTAGTTCAAAGGGTAACTAAATTTAAATCTGTTTCATGCTGCTTATTTTTGACATTACTAACCGAGCACGTTTTACCGTAACAACCGCACTACGCACCAAACCCTTAAGTATATTATATCTATATTTAAATATATTTAGGTCTCCTCTGTTGTGACCTTCAACACTTGTCAATTTTTAACGTAAGGAAATTTTTACCCTTCTAGAATATTTTTCAGAAAACGCAGACCATTTTGAGGCGTGAGTACCTTTCTACACTATGATCGTCAACTCAGCGAGACTAGTGAGGACTAGAGACAAAGCTTATCTTCGAAAAATGATTGTAACTAATAACAGTAACAATAGTAATAATAGCTTTTTCCTATATTATCCGTATATATCCCTATATTATTAGTTTCCGCATATGTTCAAAAGGTAAACTAAAAGTTTCAGAACTAAGTACAAGTCATAGCGATAAAAACACGTTTCCTTGTAATATAACTTACGCGTGCAAAGCAAGCAGTGAATCGACGCGCTTGGACACAATAAATATTTCTTCTTCGTTTTGCTTGTTATTCTGTTATTTTTGAAACAAAACGCTATAAAAATCGATTTAGTCATCCTCTCTTGCTTACGTTAGATAACATTTGAAAACAATGAAATTCTATGAACTGTCAGGCAGAACATAAATATCTGCGAAAGAGGGTATTTTGTGGTCTTTGCTTTTGTTTATAGACAGGTAGATTTGAGAGAATCTTGTGATAGATAATACTGCTAATATAAATGACGTAATATTACAGTGTACAGGAGTTATATGGCCGTACTCAAATGATTTACTCACCATTAGGCATTTTTTTTGAGTAAAAACCTCCAATTGTAACCGAGCTCGCTTTTTGCTCTCCAGCCTCCGTCAGGCCAAAAACTCTTATTGAATTTTTATCGAGTAAATGAGAAATTAATGCATAACCGATATGTTTCGCTATGGTACGCTCGATACCTAGCCAAATTTTAAAGCAACACTAACGCAGCCTAAAACAACCTAAAACTTGGAAGCATTTCTATACATTTTTAATTGATAGATAGATGCAGCAGATAAACGATGGCTTCCTATATCAAGGCCAGATATTACTAGATATATGGATAGATAGGTGCTCTAAGCTTGGAGAAGTTTAATTTTATAGGGCTAAATAGAAGACAGCATTGACATATTGATACTGCTAACGCTCTCTTTATTAAAGTGCTACTCTTTGAAAACTATAAACAATGTTATAAAGGTAACGATAGGATTCTATTACTAAAAAAATCACAGCAAATGACTGAAGGAAGTCACTGGTTTTAAACTACAAATTAATTTAATTACTAAATTATTTGTTGAGTGTTAGCAAAAGAGACTCCAAATAATTACGATACCTATTTGGCACGCGCTTTGCTATTTATCCATTATAAACAGTTCTATATATATAAAAAAGTTCTCAGCTCGGTGGACCTCATAGAAGGTCCTTCGTTTAGTACAGATTCCTTTTTGCTTTTGTTGCAATGACAAAAAGATTTTTTTCGTTTAGTACATTTTCTCTGTTTGCGTGTTGGTACTCTGTATTACTTAGCGCGCCCTACTATCACCTTCTTTGGTAGCATATTAATAACAATAAAACACTCTTTATCAGTACAAGAAGTATCAAAATCAGTTTAATTTCTTTTAAATGGTATCGTTCTCAATTTTGTATGTCGTATTTTACGGTTTTTTTTTAGATTTGTGAACAACAAAGAATAGATTCTAATTGTGAGGCGTTACTGAAGATCTACTGGAAAATTTCTTACGCTATTAATTTTCTAGTTATGTAAAGGGTCCAAGCGGCTCGTTCGAATCATCCAACGGTTTATATACGTAAGTCAAGGGACAAACTGAGTTATTGGCCTATCTCCGCAACTACGGCGGACGTCTGTATGATAGCGTCGGGCCACGTCGGGTGTTAGCGTCGGCTGTTATACCAACGCGATAATTGTAAAGCAAAAGCGATGATCAGTTGATCTGTTTCCTACTTTTTAGATCAATCTGGTTGTTCACTTGACGGCTATCCTTCAGTATTTAGAACAGCGACTTCACTCCTATGTCTCTCGCACAGAATCGTATAACAAAAGTAGGCGATGAAAATACCGAATCGAGAACAACTAAAATACTAGTAATATTGTATTAAATTACCGTACATTTAAACACATTTTCGATATCATCATTGCATGGCAATGCAACCAGGATATCCAGTCAGCAACCAAAGTTTAACCGTATGTGACAACATATACATATGCGATACAAGCAAATTGACTACTAGACTTATCATATTACACCGATATACTAGGTATTCATCTATTTTCTATCTACTGAACCCTTATAAACATAGAACCTGCTTCTAACGACACTGTAATATTTATGAACAAGATAATAAAAACGAGAGGGTTACGAAACCTACGACCGTAATTGAGGTTTCAGCCTTCGCTTTATTACCCAGCAGCCATAAGTGGTATAAAGAAACAATCTGTCAAAAATACCAACTATCGGATACATTGACGCGCGTGATGTACTTGTAATTGTCTAAAAATCTGCACGATATATTAATATGCCCCTTAGATCCGATGTATCAGTACTGGTTCTTTAAATTCGTCCTCTTGACTGATATGAATCAGTGACTTTCTGTTAACATTTTATGCAGAACTTTAAATAAGTTGAGTATGGGGTAAATCTCTTCCTATTATTGCGACATACGGTTCCAATGGGTTGGGCGCGCCAGATACATGGTCGCGTGCATAAATGTCTTTCCTACTCGTACGAGACCATCCTTGACGTCCTTGATGGAACAGACAGAACCCGTATGCTGCAAATCTGACTAATCTAATAATTGCGGGTGAATATGCATTACCATTTTTTCATCAAAGAGATTGCTTATTTCTTGTGTAACCTGCCATTTGTCATGAATATTTCTGCGTTTCTCACCTTTGCATTTCACTAAGATTCATGAAAAACGTTGAAAAGCATTAACAGTGGAGTCGTGTGTCAGAAAAACTACACCAAAGCAAAATACTCGAGCAATTAGTCGAATCTGAATGTACACACCTTAGCCAAAACAAAAGCACAGATTCCACCATGTACAAAGTTAAGCCATTCCTCCATGCAGACAAAAGAACAAGCTTAAAATAGACTGAATTTATTGAGAACCAATGATGGTTCTAGCTGAGGGATTGCTGTGCTCGTACGCTAGTCTGACGATATTTTAGACTACTCGGTATTATTCATTTTATCTAATGCCATCAACACCGAAGTCACTACATGTTTATTTTTCCGGTCGCTTAGTCTATTACCATTATAATTTTTTTCACACGGACTTGAAAAATAAACGCAAATACTCTACATCATCAAATCGCAAGATCCTAAATAACAACGAAACTGATTATGTCCGGTATTTGTGACCTATTGTCGTGGGCTTCGTTTAAATGTGAAAAACTCGTTGTAGATTAAGCGACTTGAGACTCAACCGCAATTGGACAAAGGTAGGAATATGTTTAAGCAATAAGGATAGTGGAAGAACAACTCGCTTCTCAGGAGTGGTCCTTCCAAACATAAAGCAAACAGTATAAATATTTTTCACATAGCCTTAAACACTAGCATTATGGTTATACTAACAAAAAAGTTACTAACAAACACTATGTGTAGATGTGACTGTCATGTACGACCTTCGTGCGTTTCTTAAGAAACATGCAATATATATCCGATTAGTGATCGCTTATTCTTTGCAATTATCCAGCTCAGTTGTTGATCAGTATATCACGACTGTCGTAGGAATATCAACGATGCATCGAAATTACAAATCTGTTGTATCTAGATTTTTCCTCATATGATGCTGTAAGCGAATCACTAAGCGCCCATTTGTAAGTCTTTATTTGCTCTACCTTGCGTCCCTCTAAAGCTGCCATATATCTAGAGTAATACGCGTCTTAAAATTGGCCATTGAACCGAATCACCGATAGAACGAAAAACTAGAGATAAAATAGGGAAGACAGCCTTTGGCCTCGAATTCTGCATAAGCAGTTTCCGACGGAACGACAAACACTAGAATGAAAACATAAGCGAGGAGTGCGCATAGAAAAGCAAATTCAGTGAGGCAAAGCTCAAAAGACAAAATATCAGTAACGAAGATCGTCCCCAAAATTAAGGAACTTCAAAGTAAATCGAAACATAAATATAAGATCGCGATAATTTTATCGCGACCTTATATTGACAAGGCGATAAACTAGACAGCATTACTACGCGAGGCTGAAGTAACTGTGCCGAATAGTGATGGCAGGTACTACCTGCTACAGGATTAAACGCATGAATTTCAAAAGAACATAGGCTAGATCGTAAATTCATACTAAAACTACGCAAATAAAAATAGTGTTGCAAACTTTATAGCAAATGTCAAAAGGCAAAAGTTATAAAACCTAGCCTCACACGGAGACTCAGTGGTAGATTTTTGCTAACAAGAAATTGTATTTTCACATAGATCAAACGTATGAATGGTACCGATTTTACTGTGATCTGGTCATCTTAGCATCAAACAGCCGATCTTATGCGTAACACAGGGTCCGGCGGTTTAGATCCAATTTTCCATTTTCTAAACGAATTCAATTCTATGCAATAAATTGTATCATAGCCACTTTCCAGATATGTGTTTGTGTCTAAACTATACAATAAGCCAATTCATCGGGTTACTTTACGATGCATACAAAGCAATTTTTTGCAATACAAACACAGCAGCTAACACTTACGAGCGCACCAGAGCACAATACTCACCAAGTCAGACTAAACTAGTCGTTGGGGGTGGTCGCGAAATCGAAGCAGATTTCAGTGCTGTGCTATCTCACAAGCCATCGTAAACGCTTCGTGAAAAATTAACGATAACAATTAACTTTAACCCCAGTCATAGTAACAATCACTGAAAGTAACAGGCTCTACACTGTAATAACGAGTATTGTATCACTCTAAGTATGGAGTGGCTTTGCCAACGAAGGATTCCGTTCTATATGTACGTACCTGTGAGGTGAACAAGAAGGTAAGACATTCGCATACAAGAAGTACACTTGCTGGCATTATTTCAATTGTTACAGGGCGTATTCTGTGCGATCTCCGTTTATTCAAACAGCATCTGCTGGAATACCCACTCTCGTGCCTAATTGTTTGTTTGAGACGTAGCTGCTCAAGTAGCCATTGGGGCGGCCCTAATCGTGGAAAGGATACGATAGCCCCCTGTTGTTGACGAGTCACGTGACGGTTGCTTCTAGGGTCGTTTCGGGCGGAGCCTCCGTATCTTAAGCGCCTATGCGGGTAATTGCTATCATCGTTGTGTCGACGCCAGCGTCACCCGACAAGGCAAACGTATATGCAACGCGATTACTCTGCGGGCGTAATTTCCGCATTTGAAGAAGAGGCATCAGGCGGTACTTGTGCTACTTCTAAGTGCCGGTGGTTACAAGAATTCCTAGCTTTCTTCACGCTTAATAAGTAGCATTTAAAGGTCACTGCAAGATGGCTTCGGAAAAGGTTGGAATCATTGGCAGGTACGTGAGGTGTCTAGTCTGGCGAAAATCATGTAGGACTAATGTAATTTTGAACATTTTTCTTATGAGAAAAAACTTCGAAGTCGTTGCATCACTTAAAGGAATGACCCGCCCTTAGGTACAAATTCTTGTGCTACGTGCAGGTAAAGCGTTACTAGTACTGGAATTGGTGAAAACTAAAAAAACGGAAGTATCGTTTACTTCCAATATGTGAATTTTTAATTTGTTGTCACATATAATTACCAAAAACCGTAGTTGAGTGTCTTTTCAATTCGTGGCACAGACAAGCTGTAAGTTTTGAACAGGTATGTCCTATTTAAGGCTGTAAAATGGCAGCCGTCCTTATATGTTCCCCTCGCCTGGTAGATATTCCATCAAGAACTTTGCTCACGAGTTTTGGTATCATTGCAGTACCTTCTTCCAAATTACATAGACAGCGCAATTCTTGACTGAGCTTTTCGAAAAAACTAATCGGTAAAAGGAATACATGTACGAGGTAATTGTGTCAGCAAGCAATATCTGGCAAAATTTGGGATTTTCATAAGACTTCACGCTTTCGTGTAGAGTGAAACCTCGATCGTTGATGATTACGAAGTTTTCTCAACCAACTGCTGAGATTTGCACACTGGGTCTGGAGCCCGTAGCAATCAGTCACTCCCACAACAATCCTATACACAGAGAGACATTGCAGATATAGTTCTCTACAATGAAGTCAATAAACATAAGCAATAGAATGCCGACAAATATTGTGTCCCATTTATAGAATGTATTTAATATCAACGGTTTATATTCATAATGAAACGCTTTGTTACGAATGTTCTAATTTTGCAATGGATACGTAAATGGCTTGTGTGTGTTTGACAGCTAGATACTTGTTACATCATCCAAGCAAACAAAACAAAAAAAACAAAAAAAAAAGCAAAAAAGCCATAGTATTCATGATAATCCCCAATCACTGATTTTTTCTTTCAGCGGCCTGATTGGTCGATCATGGGCCATGCTGTTCGCTGGCGCCGGCTATCACGTAGCAATCTTCGACGTAGATCAGAGTCGCATTCCTGAAGCGTTGCAGGACATTCGCCAACAGCTCGAGACTCTTCAAGAGATGGGCATGCTCAGGTATAATTATCAATATAGCATCCTCTTTTGCACGTGTGAGAAGTTCGTTGCTCTGATGCAGTAAAAAGCCAAATTTGTCCGAAAGGAACGTTGCATTGCCAGTCATCTGAACTAATAACATCCAAGTGACCTGCGTTGAACATTACAAGCGTGCAAGTCAAGATAGTTTGGTCTCATTAGGTCAAGATGGAAGGGCGGCTGCCTTTACTTGAAACGGTTTAAAACCATTGCTTTTTTTTACACAGAGGTACGCTTAAGGCTTCAGAGCAGGCCGGTCTAATAAAGGGCGTAGCTACCCTTGAAGAGGCTCTTAAAGATGCTGTTTACGTCCAGGAATGCGTCTTCGAAGATGTCGAACTTAAAAAAATGATCTTCAAGGAATTTGATGGTCTTGTCGACAATAAGACGAGTAAGTGCTTTCTATTAAATAGCTAACTGATACTCTAGCTTACATTATTATATATAAACATAGCCCATTGCGTTGTATTTGCTTTACCTTTCATTCTCATTAAAACATTAACGTTAAAGTGAAGCGGCTGATTTGTTCGATGGTCACTTTTATGCAAGGGCGTAGTTATCCTATTCACTACGTTTGTTTTGATATCTTCTTTATTCGATTTCAGTTTTGGCCTCCTCAACTAGCTGTTTCCCTGCATCGAGCTTCACTGAAAATCTCGTTCACCGTAGTCAATGCCTAGTCGCGCATCCGGTCAACCCGCCGTACTATGTTCCACTTGTTGAAATCGTCCCAGCACCCTGGACCAACGCTAAGGCATAGAAACGACTCATAGAATTAGTATATGTAATAGGCATAGATGTCTCTGCAAGTACTGCATAAACGATTCAGTCAATTGATCGATATGTTTGGGGGTTTTCATGACACGATATACTCGAGTTGAATCATTTTGACAGTATATCACGCTAATAACGCTTTATTTTTATTGGGTGACTGGGACATTTATGAAAGCTCCGTTCGTTTCTGAATATCTCAATGTTACATAGTAAAATATCAACTTAAGTAAATGTCGGTAGGTAAAAAAAAAGTGAAAAAAGGTAGGTAAGTAAATCTACCTGAGGGCATGATGCACCACGCTGAAGGTAGGCCAACTGTTCAGCTGAAAGAAAAAAGAAAACGCCGTGTGTGTTCTCCATGCGTTTCTTTTACTTCTTATCTGCCGTTAACTTTGCTTGTTTTATCGAGCACGAAACTTTGTGCCACCGTCTGCAACGAATGTGTTTGCGTACAATATAGAGTGCAGGGTTCCAATTTTCACTAGATAGGGGGAATAAAGGTAACAGAACTTTTTTTTTGTCTGTTCGTCGTTTCATTGTTCGATCACGATACACGAAACTGGTATCAAGTATGATCTAATATCGCTTCTCTATTTGCCACCTCGTGCTGTGCCCGTATAGTATACAGACAAGAAATTTCATGAATTTTGAAATATTCGGATATGTCAATTGTCCACAATATTATATTGTGGACAGTTGACATATCCGAGTATTTATAATGTTATTCCGTACGGAATGATAGATACTAAAGAACAACTACGTCAAAAAATATAATATTTGTTTGCTTGAGTTCAGTAATTGTCTATATCCCGCCGCTTTTTTGAGTAGTCAATGATTATGACATTAATCAGCTATTCGCTATTTGTTGCAGGACTCAAGTACGCTTAAAAAATATTAGCTACCATTTATGAAGCCACACACGAAGCAAAATTTCAAAATTTAATACGTAGATATTTCTACGCATGGAGTCCATATTAACAATGATAGTAACAATATGATAGGTATAGTCAATATTGTGTATTATTGTTGGATATATTCTGCAGGTAACAGCTGCCGCGAGAGCTATTCAAGAGCGGATAGGGCAGAGCCCGGTCGTATTGAACAAGGAAATTGCTGGATTCGTACTTAACCGAGTGCAATACGCTATCCTGAACGAATGCTGGAACCTGGTAGAAGATGGGGTTCTTTCGGTACGCGACGTTGACTCTGTTATGAGTGACGGTCTCGGAATGCGATACGCCTTCCTAGGTCCTCTCGAAACGGCCCACCTTAACGCTGAGGGTAAAAACACATCTTCAAACTAAACTTTGACCGAAACTTTTTAAACAAACGTTTTATCTTTACGGTGTTCTTTAACTCGAGCAGTGTGCTTTTCTTAAACTTACTATTCCTGCCGATTTTTTGGTGGTTACAGGGACGCAGGAATATTTCCAGAAGTACGCCCAGGGTATTATTCGTGTGTCGAACACGTTTAAGGTATCTGTCTAGAGATAACATTGTTATTTTAGGAGTGCATTTTGCAACAGCTTTGAGACTCTTGGACAAGGGTGCATTAATCATGCGAAATCAAACAAGAGGGAAATCAGTTTTCGATAGAGATGGTTCTCATAATCTGTTTTCATAGTGTCTAGCTTACACGTAATCAATCTTCAATTTCGACTTTATGGTGAAGTCGAAATACCACAGCAGGTTTTTATCAGGCGGCGCCTACGGGAACTATGGAAGAATAGTTAACTCGCGGACAATGGATAGTAAAAACGAGTGTTACCAAGGGGGTGAAAGGAGCCAAAAGGGGATTTTGACATTACTAATATCGTTGTCGCTGGCATTGCTGTCGTTGAAAAATTTATAATCGAAGGTAAAGAGTATTGATTTGTGGATTTCGTTGATACTGGCATTGTTCTTGGTTAACTGCTCTATCTCGATCGTTTTGAGGTTATCAGATTGATAAGGTCGAAGGATAGCTTTTAAACATATTGAAGGAATGAAGGATTGATTCAGAAGTTTTACTGGTAACAACGAAGGCGACATACGGCTACCACTTTCGAAATACGATTTCGTGTCGATTTTCGTTGTGCCAGATGCAGTTTAGTGCGAGCTTTGTAAGTTGGGTATAATGTGCATTAATGACACATGAACACTAGAACTTGGCAGAGAATAAGTCTGTTTTGCATACATCATGTTCCAGCATTAATAACAGACGACTCCTCCCTTAATTATATATACATGACGAAAACCTTTACCGAATTACAATCTTATATTCTAAAAAAATAAATCGCACATATCTAACGGAGGCCGTGCACTTCCCGTACATATATAGCTTTACCTCTGACGTATTTTTTGCATAACTACAGGGCACCCCTACCTACTGCCAAGAAACGATCAATAAGGTCGACAAGTTACTCACTGATAAGATGCCGTTAAAGGATTTGCCTTACTGGAGGAAGTGGAGGGACACCCGCCTTGCCGCATTGGCTAAACTTAAGCGAGATTCTACACTCGCCGATAAGGCTAACGGGTAATATCAAATCACTTCTGCATGCGTATCGTCGTTACCGTTTCTTCTAAACCGTTTGCATACTTACGCAAACAATTCGGTTATGGAAATTTGCATTCATTGTAGTAGTCTTTTACCAAGAAGAATAAAGGACGTTTTTGATTGATAAAGCACAGATAATTTTCTGTCTGCGATTTTCTAGCCTACACAATTTATATTTTCGAGATAAGACTGTCTTATTTTTTGTCAATTTTTTGCTTGCCAAAAGTTTGTCAATTTATGCTTTTGTACACGTTTACAGATAACGTATTTTGAATGCGATGAGTAGTGACCTTAGGCCCTCTATGATAGGATGAATCTTAGGTATTGATGTCCGTCATGCACGTGCCTTTCAGAACTGTCCGAATAACGCAAATTTAAATTTTTCTCTGTTTGTATTACGTTATAGAAAAAAGCAGTTTGCATGACTGGTGTTTTTTAACTTTGAAACACGTTAACATAATGCTTTATATAGAAATAATCGCCCGCAGAAGGGCTGCGAAATAGTTGACATGATAGAGATACAAGGAGCACGATTTAACTATTGCTATTTTTATTTAAATATATATATATATACCTACATTGTATCATTTCGAGACTGATTTTGGAGATTAAAGGAATCCTTAAATTAATCGTTGTCTGTCGCTAATTAAATTATATACTGCTTATAGGACTAATCGTAGTGACGACGACTTATGGAGATTGATTTCAAATGCAAACCTCGCTTTGGCATTTTCTTTCCGACGACTCATTTACATGATTATATGATACAATAAAGTGTATATACATATATATATATATATAATTATTCAAGCATGTAGATGAGTCGCCGGAAAGAAAATGCCAAAACGAGGTTTGCATTTGAAATCAATCCTCATGAGTCGTCGTCACTACGATTAGTCCTATAAGCAGTATATAATTTAATTAGCAACAGACAAGGATTAATCTAAGGATTTCTCTTTATCTCCAAAGTCAGTCTCGAAATGATTCAGTTTTTTGGATACCCTGTAAGTGTTGCGTTTCTATTGGAAGATAATTAACACAGGTAGTATGCATAATATCCGACACGAATTAATTCATATACATATATAGTACTAGAAATATTAGATTAATTACATTAGTTGGCTAATAAAATTAAATACTCTGATGGATGCCGCTCCTTGGTAAAGCGCAATTTGACCTAGTAAGAGTCAAATGATGCTTCTGACCTTTACAGGTGTTTTAAACGTATTTTAAGTGACATTCGAAAACCTGTTATTTACTCTTTAGTACGCTGTATAATGGTTTTACTTTATAGTCAGAAAAAATCATCGACAATGAAACGGTCAATTGTCTTTTTGGCCAACCTTACGAATAGAACCTCTACGATAATGCTACTTTTTTGGAAAGGGAAGGCACCGAATGCCAGTTTGGAAATGGCGATCGTACAGTCCCGATTAGATTAGAACAGGACCGATATGGTGTGCTTTCGTCAAATCCGACAGAATGTCTTACCGCCTTAGCCATGCTATCTGCCAATTCTAAACGTAGTAGTCTGCTTTTTCACTTTTTTCGTTTCATTTGACTATTTTTGTTATTTCCCATTGAAAAGCCCTAACATTTATACAACTAAATACAGCGCGATGTAGAGATCGAGATGAATGTATTTTTGTCTCATACCCTAGAACTGGGGTACTTCCGTCAATTCATTACGAGGGCTATCCGCTGAAGTTATGGAAGGTATCTATTATAGCTGACAAGTTGAATGAATCTATTTACATCGAGAATTTTATATTATCACCTGACGGATATATTGTCCACAGTTTTAACCGACTGAGTATAGCACTCAAGTTGGTAAACTAGAAGCCACAGAAGGCAAAACACATAGGCCAAAATGCAGACACTGCATTCTATCACAGACAGGTTCGGCAATTATTTTCGATTAGAACTTGAAATTTTTACAGAGCCTAGCATAAAGCTTAATAGCACAGATATTACGTGCACATTGACACTGTTTCCAAGGAGCTGGTACGATTCTTTGAGGCTTGTTCCAGGTGGGAAACGGAACGAAGGCGGAAAACACATTAGAGATGCCACCTCTCGCGGGCTGAACAGCCGGAGACCCAATGCTGGAACAAAGCAAATAGAAACGATCACTAGCGAGCCATTAGGTTCATAATTAAAAAATTAATATCGTGGGCTTTGGTTGCAAACCTGCTTGAACTGGAAAATTCACTTAGCTTAGAAATAACAACAAGTGGTCTGTTACTCGTCACAATGACACGAACTGTAAACTCACCATGAATGCGAGCGGTTCTCTGATGATCTGGAGCAGAATAGGCCGCCTCAATTTCATCCCGGGTACAGTTTGCCAACACCGAACCGGTACCTTTCATGTAGCGACCATAATTTTTCGTGAAGCAACACGAGGTGTGAGCAGACTTATCAACGATGTCTAGCACCTTGAAAGTGATCATTTATACATGAAGTTTTAGCACAACCTGTATAGTGAAGGATCGTATGTCTAAATAAATGGAAGCTAGTTCATGCAGGATAAACTTTTTTGTATGAAAGCTATGCCACAATAAACAAGATAAAATAGTTCATCTTGTTTATACTTGTTTTCTGTTTATAAGCTTAATAATTATAGTTTGAAAATGAATTTATTGATAACAGTTCCGATTTGTGTGTAACCCAAGCGACGAAGAACTCACGCAGGTTATAAGCCTCAGAATACATCAATTTCTATAGTACTGTTCCGGTTGACAACGTTATGCATTGCATGCAAGCCATATAAAGCTCTGTTATCTGCCTGCGTTTATCCAGTTATGTACCCGTGTGATATTATACGATATAAGAGAGCAGCGTACCATGGCGTTCTTGGCGAGCGTAGCTACGTCGAGTACCAGTTGCTCACTTTCCTGAGCAACTTCGTCCAGATAGTCAGCGATAGTCACTGTGAGATCTTCACCTAAGCCTAAAACCGACGAATCTTCGATAATTCTGCTGCGTTCCGTGCCGAATAGTGGATTATTGCATCGAGACTTATCAATTGCCATACAGTAATATCTGTTAAAAAAGGTAAAGCCACTATTTATGAAAATACAGAAGGTTACAATTTGGAATAATTTCAAATATACTGACTAAATTTAACTGTGCGATACGGTGATATTACCGAAATACTATTAATAATTGAATCTACATTGGAGTCAAAGCCCAGAGTGTCACGTCTAGTGCTTCACTTCAGCCACCCAAGTTATAGTAAATTTATCAACCTGTGCATCATCTATGCTCCACGGATTAGCTAATTATTTATTGTTTGTAATACGTATTGCTGGTGGAGACTTTATATAGATTGAGATCGAACATGAACGGCTTACCTCAAACGTGAATTAGGTACGTTGAATTGGTTCGGTGATAAGAGGCACTGCAGGTAAACAAAGCCACATCGTTCGAGACAGTTCAAAAATGCGTCGCATACAGGACTGCCTTCAAAACCTTTTACGTTCTCCAGAAAAACAAATCTATATAGGAAATAGCATCATTTAGCATAAAATCCATTATGCCATTGTGATTGAAACCGTGGTTGAAATATGATTTTTCCCAACTTTTAGCGGTGAATCATTGTAAAGCAAGATTGTATGCAAATCTCTATAGATACTTGATGTCAACTTTCGCAGAACCCTTTATAGTACGCAGTATGATTTCAGTCATAGTAACTAACAGGAAGGCACACACATTACAAGCAGCGACCGCCAATGAGAGTTAGCAAAGGAACCGAAGCTGCACGCATCGTCAATGAATGAGTCTACATACAGTAGCGAACTGACGTGACGATCGATCAAGTATCATCATCGAAAACACATCATACCGTAACCTTATTCAATATGCCACGATTATTGTAAAACGGCCAGCAATTATTAAATAGTATTATATCACCAAACTGAGTTGAAAAAAATTCTACTGGAAAAAAATGTGTACTAGCTTCTTGTATCACAGTAAAATGCGAACTGCCCACTGCGTGTACATACAAGAAGACTTGTTTCAGATCCTGCGCTAGCATAGATTTTAAGTGAGAAACAATATTGGCTAGTAATACTGACTTGGGTTTGTGTTCACTAAGCTGTGGGAAAATATCCAAAAGGTGAAGGAACGAAGATGTTCGAGGATCGTCCCCCCCTAGCTGTTTTCCTTGCCGACTGAAAGGTTGACATGGAGGACTCATTGTCAGGAGGCAACTCGAAAGGCTGCCAGACAGTTCCTTTGCTGAAAGTGACTGCGTAATAAACGCACGTATTTGCTGATTAGAGATGATTAGAAATTACATTTAGCTCTACTACTGTTCCTCACTGTTGAATTTTTATCTATCTGAAATCGAGCCTAACCTTAGCGCTCCATATATAGGGATGCAATAGGTGAAATATAGAATCAACAACTGTATCATAATAAAATATCAACGTATAAGTATTGATAGATGAACTCAAATACGAAAGACTGAACTCGACTTCTATCTATGGCTCGTTGTTCCGAAGCTTCAGCATGTTCTAGTTAAGCGTATTTAGAGTCAAGGTGAAAGCCTCAACTACGCTACACATCAATCCAGCAGAAGTTTTTAGCGTACCTGTATTTGACGATTGAGAACTTTCGTTTTGAAATTCTCCTGGTAAACAGCATTAGCCACCGTATTAATGTCCACAGCAGTGACGACCTCGAAATTAATATAATCTGCGAGAGGGCCATTGGTGGAAAACGCCTTTGCGAGCGCAAAGTGTATTCCACCAATTCCACTGTACAATTCCAGCACTCGTAACGTAGCCATTTGGGTGACGATTATAAAAAAATTCACTAAAAGAGGAAGTAGTGGCTTTTCAACTGCGAGAGGATCGTATTTAATCTCAATGTCTGATTGCAGAACTCACTGGATAGAACGAAGTACTAACGAATTTTTCAGTCGAAAAATTAAACACGAACGCAAATAATGTCCGGAAAACCAATTGTTATGTAGCACAGATCTTTCCGAGGAAGTCCCTTTGTATTCTTATTCACCGTTTTTGAATATGCAGGTATAATCCTGAAGAAATGACCAATAAGCGTTATTTCAGCAAGAAAAACCACTAGCTCGCTAGATTCATAACAATACATATGTATAGTTTTTGTCAAATCGGAGAGTAATACTCCAGCGATCGAACATCTTGAGCATATGGTGGCTGCCATCTTGAAGGGTAATTCCGTCGTTTAAGAGCTAACACCATAGTTCTACTTTGAAGTCGAACAAACTTAAATAAATAAAGACGCAATAAACGGTGAAATAACGGCATTAACATGTTTTGGATGAAAATAATTCTGCGAACTAAAAATCAACTGAATAATTACCGGGTGTACTTTGTTAACATCGCTGCTGAAAAGGAAATAAATCGCGGAATGTTCTGATATATGGGCCGCCAAAATGACATCCGCTAAATAGGACCTTTTATTCCGCCTGTCCCATGCGTGCTTATAGTAAATTGAAAGTTCGGCTAGAGAAACAATCATTCTCTTAATGATGATCTAATTCTTCCATGATGATTGTTGCCAACATAACGTGACGACATTGGGGTTGCCCATAGTAGCATTTATGTTGTGTACAAATAAATTATATTCATATGCTGAATCCAATAGTGTGAAGTGCTAAGTTCCGAAATTAAATATTTTCAGCAGCTGTGAATCCATCAGAACTAGGATGAGCCTTCAACCTCAACCCAGATCGGAACTCATGAAGGTCAGTAGACGTTACGAGACGACAGTTTCGAGATGCATACTTCATGTAGTTCAAAGACCCTTTCAAATCTCTGGTATCTTCCAAAATCACTGTATTAAAAAAAAAACCTATAATTCAGCATATTGTATTGGAGAAAGCAGCATATCTGCATAAAAAACGCACCAACGGGGTAGCTGTGTATCTGTACAAAGTCTGAAACATGGTAATCTGAATTTCGAAAGTACAACGCCCTAGCAACAGATTCAGTTGATATCAGAATTATTTTAGATGCGTTTTTTATTTCAGATGTTGGATGAGAACCACTATCTAATACATCACATCACGGATCTTCAAAATAAGGGTCGGGTCGCCGATTGTCATGTGTGAGTTTTACACAACTCAGTGACATTTGTTTGAACGGATCTGGGCAAAAAATCACTTCGATAGCAAAGCGGCTTGTTCCACCAATCTTTTCATTTCAGTTAATAAATGATGAATTTATTCAGGCCAGTGTTAAAATGGTCCCTTTTAGAGGGTAAAACAGTTATTATGTGGTATTATTTCTTGAAGAAGCTAATCTTACAGTGTCTTACGTTTTCAGAGTTCAAAAACATCTTCTCAAAAATCTTCTTTATCTCGGTACCTTAGCAAACGAACAAATAAAAAAGGTAAAGTAATAAAAGTAAAGAAATAGGTAAAATATCTCTTCAGGTGACATCTGATTTCAATATAATATTTTCGATAGTTGAAAATTTCCTTGCGAGCATCAAATCAAAAGTAATGGATCGTCTTAGATCATCACACTCTGGCACCCTTCTTCCCTCTTATCGTTACCATCTTTGAGATGCATCAAACCTATAATTGTCCAGCGATCGATGAAATTAATAGTCATAAATGTATTTTTTATCCGCATTCAATGCATCTTAAAGATGTTAGAGGTGAATTGCTTCACAGTTTTTTTTCACTACCTCGGATACTTAGCCATTGTAAAGTGTGGAGAAGTTGTCATTTGCGCAGATTGGTTATGCCCATTACGGCCCGTACCACAAGACCGAACAGCTGCATCAAAGAAATTGTTTGGGGTTGTTGCAACGACTAATCCTGTGCTATCTTACATTTGTACGGTACATATATTTTTAATGATAGCACGTACAATGAAATGGCTTATAATCATAAGAAAGTACTTTTGTTATAATAATCTAGGTTAGGAAGGTTAAATCACTGACTAGACAAGCGTTCAACCAACAAATCAATGCATTTTCAGTGTTTAGTTAATATGGAAACAGCACACCCCGTTTGTCCTTGTATATATCCATGTAATATCTTTGAGAAAAATATCTGTAAAGTACTCTTTTCTCCATTTAAAGAATGTATTGATACGAAAATGTCAGGGATCTGTTCAGACTGTCGTCAAGAGCTAATAGTGTCCATCTTATTTCATCTTTTATTATTACTATGAAAATTTGACCACGAAAAAATTGACATACTAAGTGAATGACACTACCCTTGTGTACTTAACTGCGAGCATGGTCAGTACATTCTTCTGCTCAGAACTAGGTATTTCGTTTTAGAATAATCAGGTGATATATTACTGTAATTAATATAATAATAAAACATTGTAACTGCACTATATTAATGAGTACAATGGTAATCTACCGTAGTCAGAAGTATTTGTTAAATGTTTTCCCTTTAGTTTATTAATAAATCCTATGGTACGATCTATATAAGTTTTGACACCATTATGTTGTCTCAACCACGGGTAAGTTCTATGAAAAATTCGCGTTTTCTGTAATTTTGTGAACTCATAAAAATTTTCAAGCATATCCTTTATCAAATCTTCTCTGTCGATGCAGGTTCCTAATGCGTTATAGAGTGAAACCAACGTTGACACTTAAGCCACTTATATGCGAAGCTTTTTACGTCAGAAAATAACCAAAATATTTTCTCTTTTTTCGTCGAAAGAGAAAAAAAAGGGATATTGTTGCTTACAACTTCTTCATTAGATAGAAGCATTTGAAATTAGATCAGCTATCCTCTTCGAATGATAAATATGTACGTGTGTTCAGTTTAGGTTTAAGGCAAAACAATTGACTAGCGGTGCCTGTGTGTCTTTAGGTTACTTACTGAGCGTTTTCCAAAATTTGAATCGATAAATGTAATGTGGACCACTGCTTTGTCCGATTTCAGGAGGAAATGCAGCTATCACCTTCAACTCGCTCAAGGTGGCGTACTCAATCGAAAATATCCCATGTTGCAACGCTACCAATCACGAGTCTCGACGCTGACAAGTGCCTTAAACCAAATGAGGCGTTGCCTACCGCCGCGCAACATAAGGTACATACAACTTTCTAGCCAACACTTTGTTGTACAAATTAACACGGTGCATGCGAGATGTATGCGTTCATAATAGGGCTTTCAATATAGTAACTGATACAAGTTCTATAGCAAAGCTAAGACCTGTCGATGTTTTCCTGAGCCAAATATGCTGACAACAAATCAAGTTGCAACCTCCGCTTTAATTTGACCCAAGTGCATACAGCGGAACCATTAAAAATGAAGACCCAGATTCATTCAAAAAACCGATTTATTTCCTGCGTGAATCGTTATTATACTTTACCTGTTTAATCCAAGGAGTGATCTCTCTTTCTCGGAGTGATCTCAAGGAGCAGGTGCGCCGTCTGACCTGTTCGCACTTAAGCCTACCTATATCTCGCAGTAAATCTAACAAAAATATACTGATTATTCCAAGCGATAGAAGTTTACTTCTTGCGTCCTTCAAATGGTCCTGGCGGTAGTTGATTAACACCTTAAGCTTATTTCTGATTCATTCTATTATTAATTACATTAGGCTTCTGTGGTTACCTCTACACCTCCTCAAGAAACTCCGGTGATCGTCAATATGGCACGTCCCCGGAGACTTCAGTCGACGTTTGTCGAAGGGAACTCGATGTCTGCTCCATATCGACCTTTAGTGCGTGTCCAGGTTCCAATGAGCGCGACTGTCACTGCTGAATCGATCTCAGCGATACCACAGGTAACAGGGACCGCTATTCCTTTGCAGCGCCCTATTGCAGTCACCATGCCTCAAACGACGCAGCTTCAAACAATTCAATCGCACAGGTGTTCCCATGAGGTAAGAATCAGAGAAATAAATGCTATTCTAGGCGGTACTTGTAGTGGTGAGTATGATGACCTTGTACTAAACTCTATAGATGATTAATGTATAAAACTCGCTTTATTAGCATCTAGTCGTGTAATACTGCAAGTTTAGTCGTTTTAACATCCCATCGTAGTCGGCCGCTGTGCGTGCGAAGAACAGGCATTGCTCAAGTATAACGTCATGTCGGGAAAACAAATCGAAGCCTCATAACCTTGGTATGAATTTTAGAAATTCCCCAGAGCTAAATAATAATTTGGCTTTCAAGGAGGTACCGATTCAAATTAAGCCTAATAATTGTAATCCCAAATCGATGTTTTCGCGCTCCAAAAGGTCCCGCAGTCAGGCTCCATTACTTCGCCTGGTGGGACCATCCGAATTCAGGCAATTCCTGCATCTAGCAACAACATCATCGTAGCCCCAGCAGGACAGGTCTTACAAAATCCGATGAGTGCCAGCGGCTCAACACGGCTTAGTAGTTCGATCATTATTCCTGTAGCATCTAGCGGCATACCTCAAGAGCCAGCTCATGCTGACGCCAGCGCCAGCGTATCCGTTCAGTCTAGTTCGGCGGTACCTGTTCAGCAATTTATTGCCACAATGACATCTCAGGGTATGGTTCTTGTGCCAATGACACCCGCACCTTAACGCCCCAGGTCCATCAAGTGAATAACGCGATTATAAAAGTTGCGACTGCTACTCCTCGTCAGTACCTTTGATTTGTTATAGACTGTGAGTTACGAGAGGGTGCTAGACGTCTCCATGATTTAATGGCTACTATGCGGCACACATATGTGCTCACGTACCTCTCGCTAGCTCTTAAATATATTGTAAAAAAGCAAAGCCAAAAACAACGTTGTGAGAAATTAGGGCGGGAGCATCAATCGGACTTGCTTATTAGACATATTGAGAAAAGAACCATTAGGATCAGAAAGAGGGTTTCAGAAAACGGACTAAAGTTTACGTAAGTTTAAGTAAGTAGAACACAAACCATTTTACAACGAAATTATTTTGCAATGCTGTAGTAACTGAAGCAATTGCATTAAAACTTGAAAAAAAAAACAATTATCTGTGCCAGGCGTTGAGGCCAAGAGTTGAAAACTTTCGCGAAGAAAAATTGTATACTTCGTTAAAAATGTATAAAAATATAGAATTGTATATACTTCACCATTTTCAGCTTTTTGTGTAGAGCTGTATAAACATTCTCGAGTTGTTGATAAATAAATATGTTTCAGCTAAACATAAATAAAAAGAGACACGTTAATTGACTAACTTCCACACTTTTTTTTATTTATTCACGCACGGTAGTAACGACAGCTATGTGGCGGTTATTTTGTTATTATCATCGTCATCTCATTTCTTTACTCACCCGCTCTCTTTAATATCATTATTCCTGTTATTACTATGATTATTATTATTATTATCGGCATGATCATCACCATTATAACAAGAAAAATAAAAAAAGAAAGTGTACACAAAGCTATGTCGTTCCGGCCCGGGGTATTTTTATCTTCGGTGGTTCGGGTTGCATGCTACAGAGCTATCGACGCCATCTTCTACACTCTACAACACTGCACAAAAAGGTGTAAGAGATTGTCATGTTGAACAGATTCACAGTCGACAACCGTCATCGTCGCTACGGTCGGAAGAGACGAACGAGTCTCATTCACAGCAAGACGACCCAATTAGAGGAACCAAAATTATCACAACTTTCCCTGTTTCTACAGGGAAGAAACGGCAGAGGGAAAGGACAGCCGGGAACTATTACAAGAGACGGAAGGCGTTAGACTACCTCTTTATGGATCACCAATGGACCTCTGTGGGCATTGCCTGCAACGAAGTTGATACCGACCACAAGAACTGTTTTTACACAGGCCCCACCATTACTTTGACCATCATCTCGTATGCGGGTGAACACAGCATCGTATTATCTATGTACAGTTCATCTAAAATCCAATAAATAGTAGCATATTAGCTTACAAATAATAATAAAAATAATCGTATAGCTGTAACGAGGGACAATCATAGTTTCAATAATCACTTCTTTCTAAATAACCTCTTTTCTTTCTATCTCTGTTTATCTGTTATCGTCTCTGTATTACTACTACAAGCTCTACATATTTTTCCCTTCCTTTCTGCACAGTACAGGATGTAATCCGGGCAAGTTACAGAATCAAATGTTATATATATAATATATATAACTCAATTTGTAGGTATATAGGCCTGTTTGAACATGTGTGTTGTTAGTGTTATATCAAGGTTATCTAGTTGTTTTTTTAACTAGAATTGCTAGTGTGTAGTGTCTATTGTTTGCCTTTACTGAAGTCTGATAGTTTGGTTCAGCCCAAATGTGCTAGTGCATTAAGGAGGCACTGCGATGCTTGAAGGCAGGGTAAAACCGTCAGCTCTCACACAGTTCTCGACCGAGACCGTAAGAGGCATATAGAAGGATTGACAACTAGATCAGTATTCGCCACGTGTTCGGTGATTAGTAATTGATGGCCACTAGTTATTTATCGAAAGAGCTGACTGATAGACTTCACTGGTTTGTCATAAACTCTACGATGAAGGCCGCTGTGCTGAACTTCGGAGTGGCGTCGTTTGTATGGGCGACGAAGTGGTGTTACCAGCCGGCATTTCGTTTGCAGATGTTTCAAGCTGATGCAGTGTTGACGACAACTGGAGGTTGAGGTCACGTAACTTGTGGCACACCTCGGTCATGTCGTGATCCGGACGGGTCACAACGAAGTAGCCAGAACGATGTTCGCACAGCTGTCGACAATAGATTTTAAGGACGACGTCCATGTCATCATCTTCGCTAGAGCCCAGCTGAAGTGATGGGAACAACTGGCGGTACGTGTGTAGATGCTTCGTCACTTTGTTCCACTTGTGCTGCATAACAAGTTCTATAAGAACGTTCTCCGCCTCGGGCTGTGATAGCAAGTGCAGTTCAATAGGAACGGGAGGTGACATCCGGTCCGATTCAGTGTCCTCGCATGCACGTAAAATCTCCGCCTTGACCGCAGATACCTCTTCGGAGAGGTCCACAATCTGTGTATGGTTGATACTACCGGCGAGATGCGAAAGGGTCTTATTATAGCTGTCAACGAGCAGTAGAGTTTGGAAATGCAACTTATACAAAGCGCGGCACAGGTCCAGTTTGGTTTCATCCATCAGCTCCTCACTCATTTCTTCACCGATTGCTTCAAGTTTTGTTGCCGAACGCAGTGCGTCCATATGCTCGAGGGCGTGTTCCCGCTTGTCGAGGAAGGTCTCAAAGTGCTCCTGCACCTCCAACACGAGGAACTTAAGCCGCTCGAGGGCTCGGGCTGAGCCCAATAGCTCGGGATCGATATGAATAAAAGGCGGCTCTGCCTGATTTGCCAATACGTCTAGTATCGTCGTAAAATTAGTGGTGACTTTCTTAAAGATATCATTGGTACTGAGATAGCCACAGCACTCACGGGTCAGTTCGGACACCTTCCGAAAGCACTGCTTAAGTAGGCGTCCAAGGGTTCTAGAACACAAAAATATCATAGCAATATTTCATTAATCCACAAATATATCACGGAACAAAATACCATTGATGATTTAATCACTGCATTATAAGCTAATGCTTAGTCGATTATATGATAGTTATACGAGTTTATGAAGCATCGACATCGACCGGCATTGAAATTTGTAATTTTTTTTCACTCGCGAGAAGCAGTAAAAGATGGCCTATTGAGCAGCTTGTGCAGTGCGCAGCTGTCTTTTCTTTCCTTTATATTATTAGCAATATAATCACCTATAGACGTTTGCTCCAGCAGATGCCTCTGTGGCGGCTGTCATAAGCTGACGGACGTTATTTCGCCATAAATGTTCACAGTCATCAAGGTACGGATGCGCGCAGGCACCATGTCCACCGTGACCGGAATGTGCCAGCACCGGAGAGAATGCTGGCGAGGTATTGCTTAGAGTACAATCGCCTTCCGAGATGAGGGATTGCGAGGATCCCGAGACGCGTGACGGTGATGGACGGCTTGGGAAGACTAACGAGATACTCGGTACGTCTGAATGGTCATAGAAAGGCGACACCGAACCGTCATCCGAAGACGAGTTATCCTGTGGTCCGGTAGCGCTTGCCAGCTCCGCCAGTCCTGCAACCGCTCGATTCTCCTTATCGCGTTCACGTGCCCGCTTGTCCTTATGAAGGACAAGTGTATTATAGTCCTGAGCACTGGACGTGCCCTGATACGGCGTGTCATCGGGCTCGAAGTTAGACAGCGAACGACGACGCACTCCCCAATTGAAGTTGTCGATGGTTTCGCCCTCCTGGCTTTCCAACTCGTACTCAAGGAAATCGAAATCTTTAAACACTCCGAAATCGTTGTTAGCATCTAGATCTGCCGACGAGTGATGCTCTCCTGGGCCGACATTCACGGATACCTCCTCTGTAGATGAGCACATCGACATGGACTGATGGTGCGAGTCTGATGTATGGCTGAAGATCACCGACGGGCTTTTCGGCAACGCCGCGACTCGTTGGCCGCACGAGCTTAGAACGGAAATCAGATGCTCGCGCGTCTTTGCCTAGAAACGGGTAGAAGCATTAGAAAAACGACGGCGCATTATGACGAGAAAAAATATTTTTTAAAGCAGAAGCCATCACATACACTGAATAAAATTAGATGAATAATTGAACAATTTTTTTTCTTTCTGCTTTGTTATATTACACAAATATCAAAATAGTGCGCCTTCTAACGGAGTTACAAACCTGTGAAAGCCAAGGCCGTTTCCATCCGCTGAGTTGATTGTCATTGTTGAAGGATGCTGCGTGCGATAGACTGCGTCTGGGTGATGGCGCCGCTACCATGCTGCTATTTGAACTGTTGTTTTGTTGCTGCTGTCCCTGCTGTGACGGGGCGGGCGTCGGCGTGACGGGCGCTGCCCCCTTCAGACCCACATATGGAGCACACGTCATATCGAAGCTGAAATCCATTGTGCGTCCCGGCAATTCGCGCTTACCGCTCTGCACACTATCAGCCACTTCGAAAGCTGACGACGCAAGCGACACGGCGTCTGATGCATGAGGTGCCGGATGTGCGTGCGGTGGATGAGGATGGACGCCACCAGCGGCGTTTGGTGGCAAAGCTGAGCATCGTGTGACGACATGTTTGATTACTCGTAGAGCGTCCTTCCAGTGACTACCTTCTACGTATCGGGCGAGTGTTTTGAGCAGATCGTTATTAAGGCATGCTGCCGTTGTCGGCCCACTGATGTCCAAATATAGCAGGATGCAATACAGAACAGTGAGTACGTGTGCTACCAAATACGTCGGTCCTTTCTCGAGCATCTCTACGAGAAAACCTACGAGGTGAAGGAACACGTCGTGATACGCATCGTACAGGTATTTGACGATGCATTTGCACCACTGTAGGCTTTCTTTACTAAATGCCCTTTGGGAATAAAGCGTCATCACTGTTGCAAGATTCTCTAGCTTCGGTCCTTGTTCGACGCATACCTGAGCGATGTTCTCGGCCGCCCTAATGCATTGCTGGCTGGGTTCTTCATAATTGACCAACAGATAAGGTAGTAACGCCATGACGTGAAGCGGGAAACCTAGACTATTTTGCGAACAATCTACGACGGCAATATCTAAGTGGTTTGTGAGAAGGCAGAGTACCGTTATCGTCGCATCAAAGGCTGTCGGTGACGTACAGCCTTTCAGTAGAATGTTGTGTACTCCAGGGAAATTCGTCCACTTCATCTGCGAACGTATTTTATCAAGCTTCTCAATGCATTCAGTGTTTTTTAGCGGTAGCTTTAGCAAGACCTTTTCCAATAGTCGAAGCGCTAGCAGGAACTCGTGTTCATAGTCGGAATCAAGAACCGACAAAGCAATCCAAAACATCTGTAGGAGTAAGTTGGTCCTATCCTCCTGAGTGACCTCTTCACCAGCACCACCTACCTTCAACGACAGGGCACTGCGGGATCGGCCGAGCTGTTGCCCGGGATGCGATGCAGGTGTTTGCGACTGCTGCTGCTGGCCTGCTCCGAGCGGGGTAGATTGCGCGGCCTGACGGGGCTCCTCCTCGGCAGAGGTGGCGGTGACGTTGGACGTGCGAGCCAATCTTGGCAAGGGCGACTCGCCGCCACCGGCCTTCTTCTGCTGGAGGGAGCCCTGCCCCACGCTAACCACAGTGACGCTGTGCGATGTCGAACGTGCATGATTATGGCTATGTTGACGATGCAGCGAGGAGTAGCTTGCTGGCGTTTGTTTGCTGTTCTTGTTGTTTGCTGTCGAACTCTGCGGAATTGGCTTGAAGATTTCTCGCATTAGATCAGATATCTTTACAGGCGCGTCCAATGCGTCGACCGCGGCTTCGAGTGTAAGCATGAGTTCGGTGACGTAGCCTTGCATATCCTCGCCTTGTTCGCTGACGGTCTCGACAAGTCGGGAAAGAACATCCATTAGCATACGGTTATTCAGTGGAACACCGAGTGCTCGAAATATCTGGAGTGAGCGACCGGCGTAGTGTCGAGATGAACAACCTAACGCCATCTGTAGAGCGCACTGTGCCCAGCGTTCCTCAATACGGGCAAGAGGCAGTGACTCCTTGAAGACGAAAAGCACGTGCTGCAGGAAGGTGGATAACTGTTCGGCACTTTTCACCGACCATACCTTTGCAGTAATATCTTCACAGGCCCAGAGTGGTGTATCAGACTTGCACGCCAAGAAGTCGACAAGACATTTGATAACGTCTTCGGTAGTCACTTCCTCTGCGGTTTCGCCTCCTCGACCTAACTTCACGCGTACGGAAACGAATGCCTCAAAATACCCGCCGCTAGGGTTAACCAGTGTCGTGGATGTACTAATAGCGGTCTTCTGTGGCTCAGTGAAGTTATACTTGATAGCCGTAAACACCTGACCAGGTAAACCGAAGTTCAAGTGTTGAGTAGCTGCGTTGAGCAGGATGCGTGAAACCGTATAGTCATCATTGTGCTGCGCCACTGCCACAAGAAGGTGCAGGAGGAGTTTGCGACAGTGTTCGTAGACCAGCTGCTTGCCATTGTCCAACCCCAGGAAGGCGACGTGTAGCAGTAGCGGAATGTGTGGCGACCAGTCTACGGAAATGCCCGCTGTCACCATGTCAGCAAGTAGAATGACTGCCATATTGCAACGATGAAAACCGCAATTGGGGAAAACTGCAGTAGCTGGAAGCTCCTGTGAGAGAGGCGCGTAATAACCGCCATACTCAGGCATAGGCAAGGGGTGTGGTTCTTTGCCAGCTGACTGGGGCTTGCCTTCGTCCGCCATACGACACAGGAGAATAAAATTATTATCGCCAATCCCATCTCCGTCGGCCCGGGTTAGGCTTTTAACCGACGACACCGATCCATCGGAGCCATCTTCTGCACTTCGACGTTTCGTGTGAATCGTACCACGTTCCTGTTCGAGTTCGATGCGTTTCTCCTCCTCACTATTGTTACTGCTACCTTTTCGTGTGAGGCGGTAAAATGGCGGTGCCTCTGTGCGTTCGACGTGCGCGTTTAGAGTCTCAACGACCTGCAGTTCAGCCATGAGCTCATCGATGATACTCTCCGATGCCGTGCGTGCCATGTAGAGGACGATCCGTTTGCAAATGTGCAACAGTGTGTTAGGTGAAAGCGTGATCATGATGAAGAGGTAGCGTATGATGACTCGCAGATTACTAGGCCAACAGAGTCCAAGAGCCGCCCACAGCTCCTCAATCTCCTTGGAATGCTCGTCACCATACTTGACCGTGACATAAAAAAGGTTGTTGAGCACCATTTCGGTGGCTTCGGCTGAACCCCAGCCTTCACGACCATCACGCGCTTCTTTGCCTGGTGGACACGCCTGTTCCTGTCCACGATGGGCTACGTTCGGGTCCACAAGTTCCATGTTGTATAGCCACGGCAGAAGATAGTGCAGCATGTTGGCACGCACCGCTGGCCGTGCACTCCGGAAACGTGACGTAATCTCGGAGAACATTGGCATCGTGAGCTCCGGATGCAGTCGCGAAATCTGTCTAGACAACAACAGTTGCGATGGTGGAAAGCCAGCAAGTAGCAAAGGCTTCTTAAGTTCGTCTTTAAACCAGATGGCTGGTTGAGCTCCTCGCTCCGATCGTGGGCTTATACGACCCGGACTGCCTGAACTATGTGAGCTTGGTGAGCTACCTGGCTGTTCTTCTGATCGTGGAAGCATAGGTGATTTCTTGCGCTCCTCATCCCGAGACGCCTGACCTTTTTTCTTGCCGTCAGGTGTTGAGGGTTCCTCAAACGACTCGCACATCGAGGGTGATCTGAAGAAGCGATTGTCAAGTACATGTAGCAGCTGAAGTGCAATCTCTTGGTTGTGAGCCCTTGAAGAACCCGCGTTAAGTAGCGCTACGTTAATAATTGAGATGTAATGATCGCACGGGTATTCTCGACTACTAAACACTGTAACGAGAGCCTTGAAGCATGCATCGGCTAGCTTCGTTTCACCCGTATAGCAGCGATCTACAAGCCAGTCCAGAACGTTGACCGTGTCCTGGTTGTTTTCGAGAAGAAGGACTACAGTCTCAAGCCCAATTTGATTGAGTTTCTCATCTTTCGAAAATAATAAACCATCCAGCCAGTGATATATAACACTTTCTTCGTGTACGCCTGGCGGCTCAAACATTGGCCCGCAGCCAAGCACCGTGCACATGGCCTGCAGATGTGTCATGTCATACTCCATGACAGTGTCGTTTCGCTCAGAGAACGGCGTGCCCAGATAGCCACACCAGTTGGCAAATAGATAAAACAGCTTACGACGCAGCTCGAGCGATAGAAGCGCCGAGCGCTGCTCAATGTTGAAACTCTTAATGAGTTTGATCAGGAAACTACAGAAATGATGTTTCAGGTCGGTGGCCACTGCTGCAGAATCCTTATCTCCTTGACTCTCTGTCTCAAGCAGGAGGCGTACACCATCAATATACTCCAAGAATACTGGAGACAGTGAGCCAGTTTCCTTGTCGCGGACAATCGATGCAACAGCAAGGGTTCCTTCACCGGCTAGGTTCCCCATCAGCTTGGTTAAATGCACCCGTAGAATATCTCTTCTACGCCTTCTGCGGAGGTTCTCTTGCTTCCTGTCGACGGCTTCCCGAATATGCGGTGCCAACTCTTCCACCAGATCTTTCAGAGCAGTGGGATTGACCTGTGCTAAGGCTAATACGACCGCGGACCTCATGTCACTCTGTTCAGATCGAAGTAAAGGTACGAGTTGTTTGAACAGATTGGTGGCGCTGATGCCCGAGTTGCTAATGCGGCTCTCGTCTCGCCCGGCAGGAAGATTCTCCGGGGAACTACTAAAGCTGAGATCGGGCGAGAGGTAGCGCATGATCACATTTGGGTTAGACGGGGCTACTCGGCATGCGTACAAAATGTAATTACGCCACAAGGCTAACTGTGCGTCACGTTCTGAAGTCGTCTTCTTCACTGTGTTGGTCCTGTGAAATAAAAAGAAAATAAAGTAACAAGCGAGAGAAAAGCGAGTGTATAAGCAAATCGTTATGACGGTTCGTGCGTCGATGCATAAACTTTGACTCATCACTAATGTTAAATAAATTGTTAAGGATGTGGTGCTCGCAGGCAAGATAATGACATTACATGAGTATAAAGATATATTCTAGGGCGATTTCTTTAAGAGCCACAATGAAAAGTCATATTTGCAACAGATACGTTTGAAGCTTGTAGAAGGCATTGACTGTATTGTTGACATCATCTATTGCAACTGAATGCCGAAGGTCGATATTCTACGAACCTGAGTAACGAGGCACGATTGTCATTAATGAGACTCATCTCAAAGTGGCTGAACAGAGCATTGATGCGTCCTGTGACAATGGGCCATGACATTGTGACTGCGGTCGGGCAATGCTTAACCACACCTGGTACGAATACCATCATTGAGAGACACCACGCATCCATTTTTGACAAATCCTGGAATACATTTGAGGCCGAGCTGGTTGATCCAGCCGTATTGTTATTGTGACTTCCTTGACCGGTATTACTGTTCACTCCTGTATTTTTGTCGGTATCGTCTAGCAGCGTGGGGTTCGGATTGCCAGTCCACACGGGGCTACTACGCTCCGTCAGCCACTGTAGATCTAGCTGCTGTGACTGTTGTGCACTTTGCAGTGCCGCACGTTCGGCTGGCGGCAATTGCAAATGAGTATGTCGGAGTAAGCGGTCGACAACTGCAGGAAGAGAGCTCTCGACCACGTCGATCACAGGAGGATCGGATCTCGGTGGGGGAGGTAACAACAGTCGGATCAGGCATTTGACCTCCTTAAGCAAATGAACTGCCACGCGACGCTGGGCGAGCTACGGCGACAATCACAGACAATGAACAGATATATGAATAGTGATTTAAATCACTATAACATATCGTCACAGCATGAATAAATATGGGGGACGCAGCTATGGGCTTGGTAGTTCATCACTCATCTGAGTGCAAGACCTAAGTAGTATGACTCATCGGTTGTTGCACATAGGGGGCACTAATTATTATACATTCATAATATATAAAATTCACAACATCTAAAAGCCAGTAGGGTAGGAGGTTTAGCCTACATAGAATTGACAAAAACACGCACACATATATAATATATTCCAGGATCAATAACAACGACACGTACTCGATTCTGACACAACATAACAAGGCACAGGCCTTCAACAAGATGCAAAACGTTGGCGATGGTGTCTGCTCGCATCTCGGACACGTCTCGAGGTTGCGGGCTCGCGTTTCGCCAGGCCGCAAGCAACTGCAGCAGCATTCGATGCGCTTGGTCGGCGAGATGCTGCTGGCCTATAGGTAGGTCTCCAATATCTCTTAGGGTAAACTGTACAAAGCCCTGTAGCACATCCTCACGCCACTCAGGTAGATCCGCAATCATGTTTTGTAGTGATTGGAAGGCCAGACCGCGTAGTTCTTCGTCGAGATGTACAGTGAGCCGAGCGAGAAGATCAACGAGTTCCTTCCGTCGCATTACCTCAGGAATTAATCGGGGCACCGCAGCAACACATGTTCGGAACAGATCGATCTTGGGCTTACGTTCGGCTGTAATCATTTCCTCCGCCTAAAATGAGCATAAAAACAACAGAGTTGAAAATGTTCATTATTTAAAACTAAAAATTTTTCAGTAATGGCATCTGGCAGGACGAGCTATTGTCTAAGAGCGGTTTAAAACTCTAAAAGTTGTCGCATTGTGTGAACTTCTCAGAGTAAACAGCAGTCTAGTCAGATTCTATGTCCGGTAATGCCTTTAAGCGTAGCCTTAGGCGATTGGCTCCCAGCATAAAATGTAGCGGGTTTACTCCTAGACGATTTTAATCGTCCCTGAATTTAATAGGCGAATAAGCTTCCACTGCTCCGTTGACGCGTGGGGCAATGGCAAATGTGCATCTTTGAGCGCTTAGCCATGGTAACCATTTACCAACAAGCATACGGTCATGCTGGTTCAAATCTTGGCGCTGGAAAAAAATATTGCCACACGTTAACAATCAGAGAAATCAGGAACTAAATTAAAAATAACATATGTTTGTATGAAAGCCGTGCCATCTTCTAAATCAGCTCGAGGAGCCCCAAATGAGTCCACAGTTAACAAGGGCCTATACGGAAATGCTTTTATATATTAATATTATTATATATTAATAAATATTAATTGAAACTGCCACAGTTGAAACGAAAAATACATCATGGAAGCTGACGTCCAGTCTAACTGCACTGATGTATCTAACTAATAAGTCATGATCCTATCTCAGTGATAAAACTATCAACCTAGAAAATCGAATAGCCGAATAGCTAGGGATAATTTGCATAAGCGTTGGATACGTTAGATTTTAAGAGTTGTCCTTGAACTTGGGCTGAAGTATCAATTGCGACGGTTGCTCTGCGCCGATCAATCTTAATCATCCTTTTCTGCATCCATTGATCTATCCCTCAGCGTCATGGTCGTCCTTCGTGCATCAGTGTTGGATGCGTACTGCTAAAAGTGTGACAGCATAATACAATTCAAAGGGATTGCTGCACGTGTGACAAATCTGCATGCGCGCAGAACTTCCACGCTACAACTATCACAACTATATATATACACCTATTACTGCTCCGTCTCCTAGAAGCCACGGCGTCTGTTTTGCTAGTCTGTGTATTATCTAGTAGAATCGATTGCACGCCTTGGGCGCATCCTAATCATCATCACGACCAGTAGCAACGGCAGTAGCAGGATGGTCGTCATTTTAATACCCAACGAAATAGTGGCATGTGGCGTCAGCTTGTGCCGTCAGTGCGTCTCCAGGTACTTGGGCGTAATGCAGCTCGCTCGCATCATGACGTTGGCAAAGGGCTTTCCCCAAGGCCATCGGGCTACCATTATATCGGATCACACAGTGGCGGGCGGGGTCGCTGCTGATGAAGTACGTGATGACAACTTCCCACGCGCAATCCGTACTCGTTGCTACTGCTGTACTGCTGCAATGAGGCTGACAGCGATAACAACTACTGGTGCCGCTATGCGGCAGCAATATGGCATGGTCCACAAACGAATAAAATAGGCGAATAAGGGATATCGATAATTACTATTGGCCAGCAACAACAAGTGATAACGATAAGCGACAAATTGAGCCTCTGTGTCTGTGTGTGCTTATAAGTGACGTACTACGCAAAAAACGTGTACGGCAAAAACAACTACGACGCGCATAGGATGGCCAGAAATAGAACAGATCGCCGTCCAGACATTCGCACCTGAGTTGGAAAAAACGAACGGGTGCGCGGACAATATGCTTTGTGGAAGGGCTACCGGTAAGTGTTTTTAGGAAAAAAAGTACGCAATACGCCATAACTAGGCAACATCGTTAGTTGAAGCCAGTACGCACAAATATGCAACAAAGACTAGAATTTCACGGCGTGTATGGCAAGAGTACATATACGATATTATCTGTCTCTGTTTGTAAGCCTGTCTGCACGCGTTATTACTAGGCATCTGAACGGTAGGCGCGACGAGCGACTAGCCCAGAAAGTAATCAACCTCAATTCTCGTAAGTAGCGCTCAGAAATTTCCATAGCAGCAGCGGCAGCATCATCAACAGGACCAACAGCTGACGTGTCAGACAAATTGGCTTCGAGGAATATCTTTTTCATTTTTTTTTTCTTTTTGATAGCTTCAATAACCGACGGTAAGCATTATCATTTTATTGAGAAATCCAACAAGTAGTGATGGTTTTCAGGCCAAACTCTGGGTAAACATCTACTTATCCTTCTAAACAGTACCAAGCAAAATATGTGCCGATTACTTTCTGCTATTCTACTGGTAATACCATAATCCCTTTATGCTAGAACATTGTTCTTTCCGCGGCGACAAGCGATTTTTTACATGCCCCCGTTGAAACTAAGTTAGCATTATTAAGGGAGTTCCGCAGGAAGCAAAACAGACGGTAATCTGATGGCGCAGGATCCGGGCTAAACGGCGGATGTATTAAGATTTCTTACTCAAGTTCTTACCTTTCAAATGGTACCAATGCCGACCCGATACGACTCCAACGCCACCAAACTAGAAAAAATATCCAGTATTTGTCGAGTAGTCTGTATAATTTATGATCATGAGTTTTTTTGTAACATTGGATGTGTCGTTATTGGGTAATACGAAAGTGCTATTGAGAGGTAACTTATAACAACGAGACAAAGAAAAAGGACAACGACACATTAAAAAAATCGGGGATAGATTAAAAATAGAAACATCATTTCCATCGAGATTATAAATTACGTGCAACAAGCACTCATATAGGACGAGAAGATGTGGGCGAGTTGCACACAGATCGTAACTTCCCTGTACATATTATTAGTATTACACCAGCTCTAGTATCTTGGCCAGCATAAACCCTAAAACCATTATTTTTAAGTTAAATTGAAGCTTTGCATGTGGAAACATCGACGACGAAATGTGCATGATGGAAATGCGCCATATATATGGTTTTTAAATTAAAAGGTCCCAGAAACCGGCGGTGATTCGGATCAACCAAGGAAGTTAACTATTTCAGCAGGAGTTATTCAGTGTGAAAACATAGGGCAATAGTTGATCTTCGGCTTCACTCGAAGGATAAACGTTCTGCCTCTTTCACAACAATCAGTTAGTAGTTTTGTTCTAACGAATGAAAAAATAACTTTTTTCTTCTAGTACCACGAATAGCAGTTGAATCTCAAAATGTGTCCTAGTTTACCTCAGACACCCTGCAGACAATGCTATAATGATCGATTTGCCAACCGTTTGCAAGAATTGTCATTATGGATAGCGTTAACAATCGAAAACATCGATTGAACTGGAAAACAATGTACATCATTATCTAGCTAGCTATAGCAAAACCAGCTCCGTTGTAATATTTCTTATTGAAAAAATTCTCAAGTGCGTTTAGCATGATGCCCTATTTTTCCGACACCAAATTGTTCAAACTTTAGAACAACCTTTACAACACCTACCAGTCATTGAAGCCAGCAGGAACGTGCTTTTTCACCGGAAGCTCTCTTTTATTTGACCTATTTCCTAATAATTAGTGTCATCCGATTCCTGATTAGTGGGGCACTCGAATGGAAAATGAGTAATCGTGTAGGATTTTTGCACAAACTCAACCCAGCACTGTCCAATAGATCGTCTACGTCATAACTGGTGATCACGTACCCCGACGGGTAACAGCGCGGACAATTGCCGTCATTAAATGGATGTTCCAATGTCTAAAGGTTCCTCCGAGAAAAGAAAGTGCGACAAAGAATCGGATCGCTTAATTGCAGCTGTTCAAGTCAGGCCTTCTAACCACGAACACCAAGCACAGCTACAACAGCAGGAGCGTCTGTTCTATTATGACATTACACTAGGCCTAGTGGGAGCGGCAGGTGCACTACTGCCCTTGCTGCTAGCGCGACGAAGACATATTTTACCAATGGCGCAAGGTACCAACAAGATAAGTACGACTGGTCCTAATAGGAATTCTGTAAAAGCGCAATTATAGGAAAGGAAAAAGCTATCGACGGAAGAGAAGATTCTGCCTCTGATCTACTCCACGACACCATCATACAAACCTCTTTATTGGTATTATGAGTGTGAGTCATCATAAGGGGCCGTCCAAATTGAGCATCCAACGCTCTCAGAATGTCGTCGAAAGCCTTCCGTACATAGTGATAATGTTGAGACATGCCGATTGCTTTGGCCGTATCCTCGGTGAGTGCCTTATTGATAAATGTCTTCTTGACTCGTAACGTACTTCCGGATGGTAAAACTCCGACCGTCCGAGGCATCGGTGGGTATCTAACCAAAAAAGTAAAAAAATAAAACCAAGTCAGACAATAAGCAATTTATGAAATCATAATTAAGTCCGTTCGTTCAATCAAATTAATGTTTAACTTGTTATTTTTCCCATTTACCCATGTCACGCCTTGATCTGGTCAGTATTTTTGTATTTGTTGACGGACGCTAGACGGTTGATTAAGAATATAATCAACTAAGGTTATTGTTAACGATAAATAATTGGATTTCTTATCAGCGGAACCCAACTAATCAACACAGCTAGAATACAACTTTCGACCTACATGATCGGTTGAAATGTTACTCCTACATTATCGAAATTTCATTGCGCAGATTTCATAATATCTACTAATACTTAAACAACACGCAATCTTTTCCAGCCATGTACTCACGATCTTTGTCTAAAATTGACGTTTAATAGGAAATTTTAATTGGGCACAAACATCAACTGGGCAATTAAGGAATACCTGTTCCGTTCTTGGTTAGGTACGATTACCTTTGCATTAGCACTAACGTTGCTCATTAACTACAGGTAAATCTATATGGCTTAAAAGCTTTCTACTTCATATGAAGTAATAGTAAATAGAACGTCTTCGATGCCGTAAACGTGTCGCTAGCATAGTAGAATATATATAAACACATATTACTTATAGAACGGCCGAATACGTTCAGATGCGCCTTCACCTTTAGCTATTTATAATATGATTGTATACAAGATGTATCTGAAGTTCTTTCTCTTGAGTTACGCCAGACGTCGCTATAGTACGTAAGAAAAGACTCCTCACGCGACTAGTAAAAGTAACCATCATGTGTGCCACGTTTGCTGCTCTTCCCTCTTTTAGCTATGGCTATATTTCCATATTGTTTAAAGTGGTCCCAAAAAAGGATGAGGGCAAAGCCCGAAAGCAATATCATTAGCAATCCGGAACTGCTCAGGGCTGCCCAGATGACGCACCCCACGCAACAGTAGACAGGCACTTGGATCCGCAGCGAAACAGACAAAGCAGTCGGTTGCTGCTTCGTAATATTTCTATATATTAGGTATATCGTAATCCGAACAAAACATCTTTTTCAAGGACAGACAATGAACAAAATTTGCATCAATATCATAGAAGCTACTTTTTGTGTATTGCTCAAGCTAACTGGTGTTGCTTCATCTATCACCGAGTGTCGAGCAATGAGGAAACATACTTGGCTGAGAGCCGTTATAGGAGAAACTGACGTTGACATGACGTGGACAAGGTATCTGTACTCCTATCACTTATTGGAGTTACAGGTACTATAAACTGAGTATACGGCCGAGGGGAACTACGCAAGTCATCTTGCTAAACGAGTTCCTCTGAAGCGATTGAAAATCGCGGATAAATGCTACCGCCTGGTGTCTTCTGTTCAAAGACGACGACTGGAAGGCCAAATGTCGTCTTGTCGTCGGAGGTGCTTCTACCATCGTCGATAGCCCTCATTGTATATACTTATACTTGTTTGTTCTATTATTATCCCGATCAGAAATGATTCACTTAACATCATCATTTGCGTGAAATATGTGAAGAGCCGATCCCGAGCTACCAGCTGGACTCCAACGATGGAGTAATTTTATAATCCCTGCATCTGTGTCGTAAATACGACACAGATGCAGGGACGCTTGCGTGACAGGTATTGACAATAATTGGCCGTCTGGCTTTGAATGTAGCACTGCAACTTATGTACCAAAACTTCAAGTGACGTTGTCAATTGATCTGTAATAATAATTCCCTATATAAAATGGCTAAGTTTTTCTCCTGGGCCGTTATGTTGTGCTTTCGCAGTGCATCTGTACCCGAATGGCCTACGAATTTACCAAGATAACAATAAAAGAAATAGCTAAACACCGAGACGATTTCTAAAAAACACGTTGATATACTTCAATGGTACATAGTGAGCTAAACCGTCGGTCGCGTAACGATAACCGCGTAATAATAATAATTATATAATTTTCTTATAGCAGCTTCACAGATGCTCCCGATAAAGTCATAGATAGTTGCTTTTCTTGTCGACTCCGTTACAATGTCGTAACGGAATGGAATAAACGAATCGGTGAGTGCTTATACGTTGCTGCCTTCTTCAGTATTTGGCCGAAATGAATAGCCCGTTCCCGCTTTGACTATAATCTGCTTGATGACTGTTGGCCTTTTAGGACGTTCTCGTCCCGTCACTAGCGAGTTCGGTGGCGACGCGTTCTTCGTTTTCTACGCTCTCGTTGTCGTCGTTGTTGCTGCTGTTAACCACAAGGGCGCGAGTTGGCTCAGACAGTTACGGCGGTCTAAGTTGTATGGAACGCAGGGCTCGGAACGGACGAAACAACATAGAAGAAACAAGCAGATTTTTTCACAAAAATATTCTCCTTTTTCTGATGCTTCCCATAACCTTTTTAGGATTGGTCTTCTTTCGGGCCTACTCCTCATCGCTGCTGCCGTTGCTCTCATTGTTGTTGCTTCTGGCGCTATGGGCCTGCGTCTAGCTGTTCTTGGACAGATTTGTCTCTCACTGTTGGGATGTTTGTACGTGAACCGTATGTGTGTTGTATGTATTATAACGATAATAATAATAATGATAATAACGGAAAGCGTGGGCTCAACGACCGCCTCACGACACTGCCGTTGATCCTCTCATCAAAGGAATGCGCCAAAAACAACGACTCGTCTGACGAGCCAAAATTTTGCCGACGCACTTTTTGCCACCGATAGGTTTGCACGACGTTTATTGTCGGCACGATTACGAATGTATCGAATCAATCGCCGAAATCAAAGGCAGGCCAATAACGATAAGGACATTTTTTCGTTTCCATGAAGAGAAAGAGAACAAAGTTTGCCAGTAATATTCGTTGATTAGCAAATGAGTCTACACGTTCTCGTCGTTCGTTGCTATGTCCTCACCGCATAAGTGGTAGCACGCTTCTCCTTCACTCGACGACAAACCCCACGTTACCATTGAATCTTGCCCAGTGAATGAACAAGCAAGACTATTTGTACGGACGTTCAAATGCTACTCGTCTATTAACCGAGAGCGGTCCTTTTGGGGTACGTCTATTGGTTATGTGTATGTCGATGAACTATTTTTGTTCCGTGTTTAGTTATACTAATTGCTTGTTGTTAACGTCGACGCGCGATCTGACGCAACACAAGTTAGCGTAGAATGTCGAAGTTCGGTTCTATTACATGGGATCGCTACAGCAGCGTCTTTGCTAGACGCTGCTATAGCGATACTTGCTAAGTTCTAGTAATTGCTTTTCTCAGGAGTATCAAGGATGTTTACCAACTGCGCTGATGCTTTTGTCGCTGTCCTGAGCCAGGTGACGTCTTGTTGGCTGCAAAATCAAATTGTATATTTCAGCGATTCGAGATATTTTACTTGAAGTAAGCGATGAAACGTCGATAGAATCAAACGAGAGTATCGTCCATTTTTCTCCGTTCCCGCTCACAAAAGCCCTATCGCTCTTTAGGATTGCTTTGTCATCGTCGAAAAAACCAGCAACACATGTTGTTTTTGTTGGCTGTTGAGCTTATGGGACAGCTTTCTCTACTAAATAAAAGCTTTCGAATCTATTGTATTGGGCGCACCGCTAGGCGACATCCTTCAGGAGCCTAACGGAGACCGTACACGATATGAACAGTTCCAAATAGGTAGCGGAGGTTCTTGTAGGTCACTTAGCACTCTGAACCCAATCCCATTCAAGCTAACCAGCCGACGCCGATATACAGTTGTAATAACACTGAACCTATGAGATCAGTATTCACATTACCGACTCAGAATTCAACAGATTAGCACTTAGATTGGAGCTGAAAACCCACTCACGAAACCCAAGACTTCATGAGAAGTTTTTATATAGTACATTTTTTAACTTAACTCCAAAACATGACTTGCTGATATCGAATGCGCAGTGGCCAGTACTAAAGCCATACACGATAGGGGCAAATACACACAGACACAAACAAAGGCCTGACTGTTACTACCGTCCGGTAAAATATCAGTGTCTGCAACCCTTACTTTCCCCTACAGATAGCCGGCCTACTCATATATAGAGCAAATGCGTCCCCCCCCCCCTTTCTTAGCGCATTTTGCCGTTTTCCTGCCCATGCGTTTGTCTCTCTATATTCCTTATTATCTTAGCTGACTTTTTGTTCCTTGATTCCTCTGGAAGAATCGCTAGCAGTGGTTATATCAGAGTTTTGCCCGTTTTTCTTCTATTTGCCGCTATGAAAGTGCGTTTTTTATAATTTGCTTCCAGACTTCTCGCCTAAGTTTCAGCAAACGATAACGCCAACATATCGTTGTCCTGTTAGCCGGAGAATGCCATCTGCTTCGCCATTTTAGAATCATGGAATCGTGTGCTCGAAACCGCGTAGAGCATCAAGAGCCCCTTGCTCGATTACTGACGTTTGTCCTCTATTGCCAAGACCTCTACTAAACGTAGGTGTTTTTGTTTTTACTGTCACTCAGTGTTCTGCCTCTTTCGGAGGAGGACGAATGAAGCGCGACCCGCATGCCGCCGACAAGAACATCTTTTCAGCGCGTCGTTTCCATCTAGTCACCTTAGAAGACAGCGAGAAACAGCGAGAGCTCTGATTCCTTGCTTACTAGCATAGTTACCGCTAACGTTTGTGTCCATTGCCGTCACTACAAGCAGGTTATCATAACAAGCACCTAATAAGCAATTATCATAAACACCAAAAACAGGATAATATTGGCATGCACATTCATTAATCAAGGCCTTGCAATTGATCCGCCGCAACAGGGGCCGTGCGGCTGCCCTCTAGTTGTCTGCTGTACAAACTGCTAAGAAATGAAAATAGGCGTCTATGTATTTATGCCAATATATCGGTGATGAACAAATATTACATGTTCGAGTTAGTGAATCAAAACAAATTTTTTCGGAGTACTATCTTATACAATGATCCGCGCCTCTTTGTTATCCATTATTTCAATAGATGATAGGCAGAATTATTGCGAGCTTGAAAAGGCACCGT